ATTCGTAGGTTACTGTTTTCGATAATTGATAACAAGTCGAATAATTGGGATTTGGAATGAAGATTGGGGAAATGTTTAGATAGTGATGAATTATTATTTACTGTATACCGTATACGAAAATTGTAAGGGTGAAACCATACCTAAGTACCTACTGAAAGTAATGTTTTCAATGTAAGATCTTACAGTTCTATCTATTACTCGAGTACTTGCCTTGCCTTGGAATTCTTGAACTATACTATGTTCCAAGACTGCCGCTCCACCATCCCGCCATCCGAGGATTATCCAGCACATACCCCGCCCGTACGCCTCTTTGTTTTGATCGATATATCCATACAAAACATGCTCTCCCCCATCAAACACAATAGGTGGTGTGGTGTAATGGTAGCACGTGACGTTGTGGCTCATCCTTCACGGGATATATCACGAATGATCCGTTTCAATCTGGGTTCGATTCCCAGCACCGCCAAACTAGCATAGTTTGGATTGAAAATTAATAAGATGGTTTGATTCCATCTAATTCCTATACTTTTGGCATTTTTTGGTTAATTTTTGGTGAAGTTGTGTGGGGTTGGTGGGGTAGATGGGGTAAGCGAGAAGGTGTGTTTTTTGGGTGCTGGTGGGAGGAAGGAAGGAACTACACGAGTGAAAAGATTGGAAATTGATTAAATTGATAAGATGACGATTCATTGTGGATTTGATGGTTGATCGTAATCGATTTAATCTGGATAATTGTTTCACAGAAAGAAGATCACAATAAAATGAGGCAATTGGTGTTACTACGAGCGGGGTAGGTGTTTGTTCATAGGAAAATCTATTTTGAGTCTGTGAGGTGGAGTTTTCATTCATTCTCGGCGGTGCTGGGAATTGATGGAGTTCAAATTATGAGTGTTCATCTATATTCTAAGATTTCTTGATTAGGTATATTCTAATAAGATTGATTAATTCGAAATTTAGATCTACTAATCAATTTTTGTTCTTGATCTTAGCTCTGCGATCGGATGTGAGTGTTCCTGTTATAGACTAGATATCACGGTGCAAGAGATAGGTACTAGATTAGATATATGATATTCTACAAGGAGGTTAAAGGTAGTGCTATGTAAGTGTGCCATATATAGGCAAAGATGACTAAGCATGTACTACGCTAGTGAACCCGTGACACTAGATGTATCAGCATATAAGCTACCCCTTTTTGCATACAAAATTCGTCTGTATGTAACCGTGCACTTTCTTTGTTTAATAATATAATTTTATAAAGTTTGAAAATTTAAAATTTTTATTATATAAATATTAGAAAATTTTAAATATTTATTGGAAAATGGAATTATTATAGTAGTTATTATAGAAATGATATTTTTATAGTGAAAATCGTAACAATTTCCACTTTCTTTATAAAATAATGGGAATTTTTATATAAATACTAGATTTAGAAAAAGCTTATTTTTTATTATTACCTTTTATTCTTTTTTTTCTTCAAAATAATGATCAGTTATTAAAACAAGAATATTGAAAAAGGTTTAATTTTGGTGTATTTTCAAGTGGCCCACATGCTGATATGGCCCATATGCTGATAAATTACGTTATCAGATCATAATTAGTCAAGTCATGTGATCATTGTCGAAACGTGGATAAATACACACCCTCGACACCTCCATTCATGATTGCTGAATGAATCTAGATTCAATCAACTCAGGAATTCGTTTGATGTCCGGAATACCCTCACAAAACGGAGAACGGCAAACGGTAAACGGATATAACCCATGATCTTATTGATTAGATGGCGGTCACACCATGGCGACGGAACTTTCCCTTTGGCTTGATATCCTGCGATCAAAAGAGTACGTTAACTATTCAATCTGAGGCTTACAAATAAGGGTCTTCAAGCCACACGGGACAGTTTGTGATCGCAACTCGAGTACGCTTAGAGTTAGCTCTTCTCGTTAAGCCTTTCTGCATAATAACCTTAAATACAAAAGTAATTGGATTTGGATCAAGAAACATCGATTTTCGCATGGGCATTCTTTTTTGGGTGTTTGTAGTCAGCAAACCAACCCTATTAAAATTCAAACAACCACGTATATTCGAGAATATTGCTGAGTTCGTCCAGAGTTACAAGGTTATAAAAGTCAAATAGATGAGATGATAGGATCTTACATGATCATCGGATGCTTGCGAAGGTCAATTGAGATGAATACGCGATTTGCGATTATGCTCTACCATGACAATGCAAACAATCTTGTCGCCAAGAAAATCTGGAGCATCTCTTTGTCAGCATTTTTCTCCTTTCGTGGGCTGATGTTTACAGATTGAAATATGCATTGGAGTTTTACGCAGTGAAATGAGTGATATAGCCAAGCGTTTTGGGGGAAATATGCTCGCCGTCAAGAGTTTGGAAAAAGTCAAGTATATTGTTTGCAGTGGACAAAGTACTATCTGCCAAGTGTACAGCCTTTGAGAACCCTTTTTCCTCGTGTCGAGATAATGCTTTACGGGATGGAGACATTGGAGAGGACAATGTCCGAATCTTGATGGGATTCTGGACAACATGATCAAGTAGGTCAACAGTATATAAGGACGATGAAAGTCTCGAGGTATTCTAACATCATCACTCATCAACTCATCTACTCATCCATTCATCACTCATTCACTCGTTTTCACAACACAGCTTACACTCAAGCAAATCAATCACCAACGCTCCTTCTAAAGTTATATCAATAACTTCATTTCAATCAATCATCATGGTTTCACTCAAGACCCTCGCTATCCTCATGCTCTCTGTTATCGCAGTTGATGCCGCAGGAGTCGTTGGCAAAGCTGAAGGTTTCGCTGCTAGTGCCAGGGGAGGTGGAAATGCTCCTGCTTTAATCCCAAAGGACATCAAAGAGCTTGTTACCTGGCTCTCTGATAACCAGCCCCGTACCATTGTCCTTGACAGGACCTGGGATTTCACCAACACTATGAAGACAAGAACAGAGAAAGGCTGCACGCCCCTCTCAAACACATGCACCAACGGTGCCGGACAAGATTCAGTCGATATCAATGGCTGGTGTGAACAGCCTGCAAATGCTAATCAAGCTCTTCCCAAGCCAACGATCACTTACGATGTCGCCGGTATTCCTCCAAATGCTATCAAGCTCGGTTCTCAAAAATCCATTGTTGGTGTTGGAGCTCTTGGAAAGATTAAGGGTAGAGGTTTCTACATTGCAGGTGCCAAGGACATCATTATCCAGAACGTTGAGTTCGTCGAGATGAACCCCAAGTACATTTGGGGTGGAGATGCTATCTCCGTTGATGGTACAGATCTTTTGTGGATCGATCACGTCAAGATCTCCAGAATTGGTCGTCAATTCATTACCATGGGACCAGGTGCTTCCAACCGTGTCTCCATTACCAACTCTGAGTTCGATGGTACTACTCTTTGGTCTGCTAAGTGCAACAACCACCATTACTGGACATTGTACTTCACTGGATCCCAGGATACTGTTACTTTCAAGGGTAACTACATCCACAACACCAGTGGTCGTGGACCCAAGGTTGGAGGCTTGCACTCATCAGTCACACCAAATGTCTTCCTCCAAGCTGCCAACAACTACTGGTCAAATGTCGCAGGAGGAAACGCATTCCAAATCGGCGAAGGAGCAAAGGTACTCGCTGAGGGTAACACTTTTGAGAATGTTGGCACACCTGTTGTCTTCGACATCACCAGCAACCCTCTTTGGTCTTCAAGCAGTGGCGTTGGAGGATGTGCTTCAATCCTTGGCCGTAACTGCCAAGCTAACAGCCTTGTTGCATCTGGATCTTTTGTTGGAACCAACACTAATGTTTTGACTGCTGCAAAGGGACTCACTCTTGCTGCTGTTGCTGATGTTTCAACCACCAAGGCTAATGTTCTTAAGAACGCTGGTATTGGAAAGATTTAAGCGATAAGCTGGAGAGGATAGATTGGAGGGGGCACAGGAGTAGAGAGTGAGATGGGAGTGATCCAGGCAACATATGTACAGGAGTCGTTATAATTAGATAGTTTGTCCTTTATTTGAAAAGTAGTTTGGAATTTAAGTTATAAGTACTGTTTTATATACTGAGTCTTTAAATGAATACATAAGTGAATATGATATGTTTTTTATTGAGATGAAATTTACTAATAAGAATTCAGATATATCGAAAGTATATTGGATGGGGATTTGTACTTTAAAGAAATAAAAAAATATAAGTTTTTTATAAGTTTTTCCAATATATTTTCCCAACAAGTTTTTTCAACAAGTATTTCTAATGAGTTCTTCTAATAAGCTTTTTACATAAAATTCTTTAATAACGTTTTTCTAAAAGCTTTTAAAATAAAAAATTTCATTAAGTTTTTCATTGTGAAAAACTTTTGATTTTACTTCATATGCTCTCGTTCTTCTATTTCTAAGTATATTATATTACTCTTTTAAATAAGACATTGTTTCAGCCTTCAATATTACCTTTAAGCTGTACTTCACGAGTAGAGAGCTCAGCGTAATAGCTCATGGTTTCTTTCTAGTTACGAAATGATAAGCAAGCGAGGGTTCATCAAGTTACAATTGGTAATATTTATTGAGATAGGTCGTCAATCACAAGCTAGTGTAAGAGTGTGCTAGGGATTGTGTTGGCTGATGCTGAGTTGATGTAATGGCTGGTGTAATGGTTGGTGTGATAGCTGGCATAACAATGTGATGACTGTCATGCATGGTTCTTAGTAGTGTGACCTGTCAAGTTTATTCAAAATATTATGGCCATTGGTAGATTCCTCGAGCTTGAATGACCCGAGGGTTTGGTTCAAGTTGTAGAGACGAACGACTAATTGGACACCTGCATGTTTATTCGCAACAGTTTGAGGGTGCCATGCATGCGTTCGATCACTCAAACATCTGCGTTGAGTGGTCAGAGATGGGCGCCAAGCAGGTTGATCGCAATGACTTGAACAGAATATATGATCTCTGTCTACTTTGGGCATATCATATTACGGCAAGGTAGTACTCTTACTGACGAAGCTTGTATTTCCTCCGAATTAGATAGATATAAGAAGGCAAGGGAAAAGCAGCTAATGGTTGAGTGCTCGCACTTAGCATTAGTTTTCCTACCTCCACAACAACACCGCCCAGGCCAATAAAACACCAAACAATTACACACAACTATCACTATCCACTCCCAAGTTCTTCTTCTACAGCAACATGACGGATCAAAACTACCCAGATCCAACTACGGTTAATAGTTCAGTGGACTCTAGCCAGACCCAGGTATGCTTGCCTCGTTGCCATCTCCTGTATGCTAAATTACTAATGAATACTCTATAGACGCAAGCCACGGCAAAGACAGTATCTGCTGATCCAGTTCCCATTTTCGAGAAGGCAATCCACATTAGTGGTTCTACAGCTGGCTCAACTGTCAAGGCTAAGATAGGCGGCGATGATAACAACGTTACTCCAGTCGACCAAACGTGGAGAGAATTGCCCTTATTCGTATCATTGGAGAGCATCGCGGAAAACATAGAGCTCTCACAAATGCGACTCTTAGAAAGATTATCAGATCTAGATCATCTATCATCATTGATAGCGACCATGCCCTTACCAATGAGTAGAATCTGGTCTGAGCAACTTTCTATGCTCTACAACGGAGTACAGCAAGACCGTGAGGCTATGAAGTCATTTATCGATCGCGTATGTCGGGATGTAGATGAAATAAGAGGTGAGGTTCAAAGATGGCATGACGTTGCGAAATCATTGGCTACTTGTCAACAGCCTGAGTGAGGCTTTGAGTACACGCCCAACTTCCAACTCTTCCCTAACACTCAACCTCTCTCAACTTGATCATTCACATCTCTGAAGGTTCAACCCTTGATGCAATATTCGGGATAGGTAGAGTCATACGATCCATGTGTTCTTGACGTATTCTGCAATTTCTATATCTTTCCCCTGTCTTTCTACTTTTTCATTCCGATGGAACCTTCGAGTCTTTTTTTATCCGTAAAATTTTGCAAGTTGGATTCACGTTTCTTGAGCCGCACAATGGAGGGAGTAAGTTTGTTTGGGTTGGTTAAGTAAAGTTAATCGGAGAATGAACTGCACGAAATTTTGAGATCCTATGTTGCACATGGCAAATTGGGGTGAGCTGTGAATGTGTCGAAACCAACATTCTCTCAAGTTGAGCTGGTGATGAGGTTCTTGCCTCGAAACCCCAAGCAATCGTCATCTTAGAAACGTATAATTTCCACCATTGATATTCTCAGGTACCAATACCAGTCATGTAAACTGTGCGAAGAATGCATCTAATCTTTCTTCATCGTTATGATGACCATGAACGCCCCACAATAAATTCACTTGACTCACGTCCATCAGCAACAATAACAACCAATCTGTACAACTTCCGCAAAATACAGAAATACACCTTCAAGTCTTCAAGTTTCCTCTGAAATGAAGAAAAAAATCTTAGAAGAACAAAAAAGCAAAACCTCACTAACCCCTTAGCTAGCAGGAGAATACCGCCCCGCGAGGATATTTTTACTCGTTCGATCTTGGCGTTTTACCACTCTACCACCAGACCGCACCATCTATGCGATCTGGTTGATGGGTTGGATCTAGATCGGTATACATCAGAAATGAAATCCGGGCAATGACAAGCATAAGTGGATTGGAATGAAAGGTAGATGTCAGTTTGTGCGTTTGCTCACTAGTATAAAGCTACATCTTGCATCATATCATGTCACATTTCTGACAATCTCTATAAATCAAAGGCTCTTATATCCGCTTATTTTGAGGGTGGATGCAAAAGTAGGTGGAAAATAAAAGAGGGGAGGGTTACTTTGATGTGGTTCGTAAATTATGATATGTTCAATGTTGACCCCAAAACAACAAATGCTATCTTGAAACATTAAATTTTAGAAAAACGCCAGGAATATTCACGAAATTATATTTTGTTCAATGTACAACGCTGGCCAAATAACAACAATGTGGTCAGTGATGGTAGACTTTTAAATAGTTAATTGTATCACTATTCAAGAAACTAAAAGAACAGGTAGAAATGCCAACTAGACATTCTCGATGTGAAAAAAGTCTCTTTCTTTTGCTTGCTTTGTGATGCCATATGCTTCAACCATAATAGTACAATTTCTCCCAACTCCAGTATTTTCCTGCGGTGCCTCGCTGTTCAATAATTTGTATGACCATTACTAGAATTCGACAGTCTTCAGGGAGCCCATCCATCGAACGCATCGATCTGCACCATATTCTCATTCTGCTGTCCTTTGAACACGAAACAAATCATCCGTATGATAATATCCTTAATAATTTACGTGCCAGTAATTCAACCCTGAACGCCAAAGTCCACATCATCTGTCCATTTCTCAACTCTGAACATATACCACTATCTGTCTATCTCCTCTCGTCCCGATTTCCCCCTGGTGGAGGCATGCCCGGAAACCCTTGGCCACCCGGTGGTGGCATTCCTGGGAAGCCCCCTGGTGGGGGAACTGGGAATTGGAAATTAGGTGGCAAGCCGCCTGGAGGAGGAAATGGCATTCCAGCAGGCATACCAGGCATACCCGGGAATGGTGGCATAGGTGGTGCACCAGGTTGTCCAGGTAAAGGAGGCATTGGGAAACCTCTTGCGCCTGGCGGAGGGAATGGCATACCGCCTGGACCAGATGATGGAGGGAAAGGTGGTGGGACGCCTCCAGGGAAATTGGCTGGTGGGAAAGGTGGAAAAGGTGCCGAAGCTGCTGGATTGTGGAGCATAGGGTTCGAAGAAGATTGACCTTCGGCGGCATAGGAAGATGTGATGGAATCGATTACAGATTGGGCTTTTTCGTGACCGATTTCTAAGATTAGGACAATGGATTAGTTTACTTATACTTTGGTGATTGTGGAGAGGGAGAAGCATACGTTGATAGTAATCGACAACATTGCGCAAGTGATTACGTCCACTGTTATGAGCTTTACGCACACTCATCGAGTCGTGAGTGAGGTAGACATCGCAATAATCGCCTTTAAAGATGTGTTAGCAAGCTGTTCGCGAAGATGGAGATGGAGCTCGAATAGTCGCAATTCGCACGGCGCGTTGATTTTAAACTTACAGAAGACTGTAAGAGTAGTTAGCACATGAAATAGAGTCGCAAATGTTCGTAAACTTACAGAAGAATTTTGGCATTTTGGCGGTACTCAATATCTCAAGTATTGTTATTGTCGTTGAAGTTAAAGGTTCAAAGATGCCCAAATCCAAATCTAGAAGTTCAAACTTCGACGACACGTGACTCAAGATTTCACATCCCTGTAGAGTACCCCGAACCTTACACGTCGTCTAAATCTTTGGATTACCGCGATCTGGTTCTTGAGTCTCGAGAGCTCCATTTACACATATCTTTCGGAGCCCCTTGTTTTCCACTCAATCGATTCGGCTTTACACATCATGGCATACACAAGGACATTTCTGCAAGCACTTTGCAGTTTCTTTCTGGTACTAGCAGTTGCGGAAGCACTGAAATTCGACATTGACGCTTACCACAAAGGAGACAAGAAGGCAGAGAGATGTATTAGGAATTTTGTGGCTAAGGATACTTTGGTGGTGGTTACTGCTACCATTGATGGTTCAAAGGGGGATGGCATGCAAGTCGATATGCATGTACGTTTTTATGCAATTGGTCGAAGAAGGTCTGGACGCATGCTGACATGAAGGATAGATTAAAGATGCCGTTGGAAATGAATATGGAAAACCAAAGGATATTGTAGGCGAAAAGAGAATGGCCTTCACATCTCACGCCGATGCGTCATTTGATGTTTGCTTCTACAATTACTTTACAGCCTGTTCGTTGCCGCCCTTTCTTCATTCTCATCGCAGCCAGTACTAATTACATGCAGCAAACCGTGTTAACAATCCCCGCCGCCACGTTGAACTCGATATTGACATTGGAGCCGATGCCAAAGATTGGTCTGCCGTTCAAGCTACAGAAAAACTTAAGCCAGTCGAAACCGAATTACGGCGCATTGAGGAAATGGTCGCAGAAATTGTTGCGGAAATGGAATATCTTAGACACAGAGAACAGAAATTGAGAGACACAAATGAGAGCACGAATAACAGAGTTAAATGGTTTGCATTTGGAACTATGGGAATGTTGGTATCATTGGGAGCTTGGCAGATTATCTATTTGAGGGCGTATTTCAGGTATGTTTTTGAAATTGTCATGGAAAAGTTATTTAATGCTAATAAACTGGGAACAGATCAAAGCATCTTATTTAGACACGAGTATTATGGTTGTTATGAGGATGGCGGCTTTTGGGTTGAGCTTTCTCAGCAAATAAACCCCTGTTTTACTAGAATGCGAAGACATCTGTGAAATGAAATACGATTATTAAAAAAGCTATCCATAATCTCAGCAAGAAGCTGCTCCTGTTACTTGATTTCTGTCGCATTTTTCATTTTGGTTGATTGAGAGAAAGTCCCCAGAAGTTTGAGGTTCATATCTCCCACGTATTACTCAAGTCAACTGCTATTTTGGGTAGCGTCATCATCTTCACGCAGTAGCAGATACAATCGAAACGGCACTGCTTTCATAATAGAGTCACAAGTTGTTTGATTGTCTACTTTCTGATCGCTTTTGATTTTGCACCACGAAAAGGGTAGCAGAGGACGCAAGTCTCAGAAGAAAAGTTGGGGTCAGGGATTAAGGAGGAAGCATATTATTTCAGCATGCGGTAAAAATTCAGATTTACAGTCACGTATCACAACTTTTAATTGGATTTGATATCAAAGTGTAAACTCTGATCAACTTGAAAATGAGAATCACGGTTTAGGCCGGCTTATCTTGAAAGGCCATGGTTCCCCGCCTAGTGCAACCACACATTGATTGCTCTATCCGGGTACCGATTCGCTGATATTTAGACTGAACTATCACTTCTGCGAGTGTATTCTTTTCAGGCAACGTGCAGATCTTTTGGGGTGAAACTTTGGGGTTCCCTCGCAGATCAGATTCTCAGCCCGAGAAGGTTAATTCCATCTGTTTTGCGCCAAGATCCAAAATTTCAGAGCACGAAATTCTTAGCAACGGCTAAAACTGTTGCGATATTGTATGCAGCTCTGGTAGCTACAAATATAGAGTAGACATACAAAATCAATAACCACAAATACGAATACTTTGAAGGCTCCATAATCACCACCGAGGCGATACCAACAAAACAATGTCCAAGTGTATGTTGCATAACTGATACACTGGATGTCCTTCGCCCGGGGCTGGGCGCATTAAGGGACAGAATTCAACAAGTTTATGTACAGTGAAAATCGATAGCACTCAGTATACCTGTAGTGACGGTAAATCTGCCCAGAAGGCCAGTGGCTAGCTGATGAATTTTAGTCGGTAAGTGGCTAGAAATGCAACCCATGAAGATGTAAGTTGCGTGCTGCTTTGGTTCGGTTGCTTCGGATAATGTCTGGTGGTGTTACTGAAATCGGTAGCTATTGCATATACTGTGTTTCGTAGTAGCATCGTCGCACTATTCATGACTTACCAGAATGAAAAATGCCTTCATCTTGGCTTCGTAGCTTCCACCTGCCATTCGACCAGCCAGAAAGTTCTCTGCTTAGTTTTTGTATTTGCAATTCGCAATTAATCGGACGGTCGTCCAAGGTTCAACCACAGCCTTTTGACAGCCCAGAAAGTTTCCTATCTGCGTATCAAAATCCCTCATATAGCCGGAAATTCATGCCATCTATTATGCAGGGCCAAGGGAAAAAATCATCGGAGGCGTTTGAATACAGCTGAAGATCAGCTAGAAATCGTGGGGTACAATGAGACATAATGGGGGCTTTGATGAACCAAGTTAATGCATTACCCATTGAGAATTGTCTATAAGAAGAGTGAAAGTTTCCGAGCTTTTGAACTTGATTGCTTCAGCGGCTCCTCTTACATTGACTTTCTCACATATTCACATATTCACATATTCACATATTCACATATTCACATATTCACATATTCACATAACATTAAACTTTTCAATAGGCCACCTCGAACTCCTGCTCAAGTAGTCCAAGACCTCACCAAACTGCCTGCTTATGGCGTTCCATATCAAGTTCCCACTGGGACAGTGGCGTTATATCAGGATCCCAACTACACTGGTGCGAGGTCCGACCTTCGCCTCAATGACTACACGCCCAACAAGCGTCATGTAGTCCCAGATGCCCAGTATAACAAGACCAGTAACATATTATGGAACTTACCAGTCGGTGTGCTAGTCACTTTAGTTCGTGGCTGGGCTCCAGGAGAGGATGGGAAAAAGGTCGTCGACCTAAGCTATGGCAACACATGCCTTGGTCTCGTCGGTACCGGAACAACGGAAGGATGTGAATTATGGACTAGTGGTATCAATAACGACCTATCCTTTTTCCTTTGGAGAAATGTCGATCTAAGCATTGGTGCCGTCGAACTCTTCGCCGATGGCAACTTCACTGGAAGACGTACGACAATTTTCCTAAGCGAATGGTAATCTGGAAAGGTCCATTCGTTCAGAAATTGGGGAATGAACAATACTTGCTCATCACGTAAGTCTCATAGATTCATAACCCACACTCATCGCCCGGTTACATTCCTCAGTCTCTTACTTCAATTTTATATTTAATTTTTGGTATTGTTTTCTCTGCAGACATCTTCAATTGCATTTTCTTCATGGAAACCCTCCTTAACAAGCAATCACTAACTTTCCTATCTTGCAGTCCGCTGGAAGTCACTTGGAGATCGGCAAACAGTCACACTGTATGATGCCGAAGACGGTAACGGCACTGCATACAATAACGTCAAGGGCTGGGGCGATATAAAAGAGGTCCCATTTATGTGGGAAGTCCGCTTCAACGATTGCATCAGCTCTTTCCGATGGGACAGGGTTGTTCCCAAGAAAGAGATTATCGCCCCATTCAACCTCATGACGAGCAGTGCAGACAACGCCTCAGGCCTCACCTCGGTTTCCTAAGGAGTCAACAACAGTACCGAGGTACAGCCCATAGCTGTATCGCTTAACAATTCGAATTCACAAACTGTCACTGTGGAAACCTCAGATCAACATGTTGCAGGCATCTCGTCGACATTCTCTCAGACGTTCTCTGCAGGGGCTGAAGGTATTGCAACATCTTCAACTCAATGGTCGGTATCGGTCAATTATTCCTATACGCGAACCAATACTTCGACCAGGAGTCAAACTAAAACTGTCGATTTGAATATCACTCAAACCGTCAACGCACCCCCAAAGACTAGATACAAGGCTACTTTGCTGGTAACGATAGGCCAGCTCCCCGCTACGGAGTATGTAACAACAGCTCAACGCTGGTATGAGCAGCCGGTTGCCAACTCACAGATTGATTACGCAAATAACAGCTGGTATAAGAGAACTGAGGAGGTCCGACTCACTCTTACTGGTAGCTTGGCATGCAGAACTTTCGTGGACATGCAGACCACGCCACTCTAAGTTACTTAGACCATGTAAGCTTTACTTGAGTGCTCATCCGCAGACTTGGAGACGTGGAGGATTGAATGTCTCGTACCCTCTTTTTTCATTGGTCGAATAGTCTTGATTTTGTTCTCTTTGAAGGAAATAGTGAACTGTTGAAGTTGGACCACACAAGGAAAGTTGAACATTTGGAATCACCTATATGGATCACGCTCATTTTTACGCTCAATTAGTTATTCCGTAGTTTCTGCAATGCCATTATCTATTGCATGCATGGCTTTTGCTGGCTTATATGGATGGTAGTTTGAAGACCCTCCTCCAGATCCTCCATTGGAGATCGTCTCCGTAAAGGTCTACCCTCCCTACTGGTTCACATTGAATACACTCATATCAAGTTTAGCAACACCATACCCCCGGATTATTGAGCAAAAATATCCTGATATAGACTTCTGTCATTCTAGCGCGTCTTTCACATCAAACTTTTAACCTCCTATCTCGATATCTGATATGATGGCCCCGAAACTTTCAAGTCGCACCTGTGTTCCTGCAATTCATAATAGTCTCCTCTCATTTTACTAGTTGATTCCCATCACCTCATTTTCTTTCGCACACATCACTCTATCTCCAAACCCCCTCAACTTCAATATTCACCCACACTTCGATTCGTTCAGAATCCGACTGTGTGACTGCCGATAATACCCTATTAGCGAATCCTTTTATGCAATACTTATACCGAAATGTATTCACTCCTACTCAAGCAAACAGGCCATCGAAAACAAAACGAGGTAAGTCGACGAGGAATAAGATCCAGAGGTCTCATTTACTTCTGAAATACAAATAGCCAGTCTACCAAACCATGCGGAGGGTTTCGAGTCGTCCAAGTTTGGTGCTGAGTGCTTTTGCTGAGATATTTAATTGAATGAAAATGGTGATTTCATTGCTATCAAGGAGAAGTTCGATATAATGGTTCTTCCAGATGCAAGATGAGACAGTAAGATGACAGTACTATGTCAGATTGATAGCGGTATTAACGATAGTGATGGATATAATAGTAATGAATATGAATTAATTATATATCGACGCAAATAGCTTCATCAAAAATACCAACCATCGCATCATCATATCCTCCTTAAATGTTCTCCAACAAACAGAGAAATCCAGTACATATATACATACGCAAAAGCTCCCAAGAACAAGTTGAACAACCAACTCATCTGATTAAATTCATCCAGAAACCATATGCGTAGGGTATATAGAGATAAGCCACAAGCAAAAATCTTTCCTCCCAACGACAAAATCAAGAACTAGTTCTTGTAGATACACATTCTCTTCCGGATTTGGAATACACACATACATCTCAATCCTATCGTAATACTCACAAATATGAAATACCAAGTATCAAGCAAGCAAACATGCTAATAATCCTATTTTGCAAGTATGACATATTATATATAAAGAAATAGAAATAGAAAATGAAAAGGAAACACTCCTTTAAAATTCAAATGGGATTTATATGTATCTATCTTGTATATATTTCAATGTATTGACTCGTTCTTAGTCTTTACAGTTCTACAAACTTGATGTAAACCCTTTTTTCCTCTTCCTCTTCCTCACCTCTTGTCACCTCTCCTCATCTAATCACTCCATCTAATCACTCCATCCAACATTCAACATCCAACACCTTATACCACACAAACCTAGTAGAAACCATTCATACATACACAACCTCTATTACATATTACAACTCCAAGATTTCCATTCTTACAAGTAAGTATAACCTTGGAAATCTCTAGAACTACATTCATATGATACTTATTGATATAATAAAGGAATATACTATTCTCTAGACTTATTATTATCATTATTCCCAAATTCCGATATCTGGGAATTTTCCTATTATTTATCGTATCATATACGTAAATACAGAAATAGAAATAGAAATAGAAATAGAAATAGAAATAGAAATAGAAATATAAAGATTCGAGATCCAATATTCGACACCCACCTATATATACACCCATCTCAACTGACTAAACCCAACACAAATGCATCATTCTAGAATTCCCATTACTAATAAACACGTAGTGAATCAAAGATATACACATATACATATAAGATATCAGACACCCCAATCACAAACAATAATTCGCTCAGATCATATCCATACAGAAATTCAAAATAAGCATCTAGTATTTCCTAATATAAACGAAAAATAGAATTGGTAATATAAATTCTCAATTTCTCAATTATAGGGATTCAGGGGTTCTATACCGACCGCTGTAATATTACCTCGTGTAAAACAGTCGTTTATCAAACCTCACTTGGTAGAACGTGAGGTGTTTTATTAATGTGCTATTGAATGAATACTAGGTAGGTATGTGGTTTAGTTGAAAAACGTTGTGATTGTTGTGTTATTATTGATTATATTACTAGTTGAATTGATCCTTCGAATTATATCGGATCGATAATAAATTAAATATAGAATGAACAAACAAACAAGCAAGCGAATAAACAAACTCTATCTACCAGCCCTTCGCAATTCACAATATCTCAATAAATAAGTCGGTCGTCCATTCTCGATCTGCTTCTTCAAATCGCGTTACGCAAAAATTGTACATATCTTGTAAAGTCGCGATTACGTGCCATACCTACTGAGCGGAACCAACTACCGAGTGGGATCGTGCAGAATGACAGCGGGCGGGTACGTAGAATGGATGGGCCTGCCTGAGACAATCTTATCAACGGAGGGGAGCCGCATCCAGGGAAATCCGAGAGCGGAGACCCTCATCTTACCATCCATCGATGGGGTAACAGGGTTGGTGGAGGGAGAGATAGCAAAGCACATCATTGATAACCCGCTTGTAGCCGCACTGCACTACGCCAATGTTGATGTGTGTTCGAAAAGAGTATTTATATAAGTTTTCGTTTCACAGAGTTGGAGGTGTATTTTGCTGTATGGTAAATTGTAATGAACGAGGGAAGAATAATCCATACGTTCGGCTTTTTGAGTTCGTGAAAAAGGAATACGAGATCGTATCAGAAATTCGTGAAGTGAAAATTAAAGTATGGAGCCGTTGGACGCCCTGAGCCCCCCGTGGTGGAACACCATCTGTCGCATGCGAGTTTCTAGAAATACTCTAGAAAAGATACGGTATCACCGATTCAAATTTCACAATATGAAAAGCGCAGGACATACGTTGGAAGTGTCGAGACTTCAAGACAAACGACAGACCGCCATGAATGCGGAAAAACGGTGTGTGTACTGAGAAACAAATACCAAGCAATATTACAGGATACTTCCACGAAATGTTGGGTATGATTTTTCCAGGCCCAATGGCAAGCTGCTGGTCTTGGTACCTGCGTGAATAAGGTACAGAAAAGCGTTGAAACCTGCAAACCGACTGATTCCGACAACTATATGGTAATGAATGAAGGCAAATGGACAAACAAAGAAATGAGTCGCGAGCACACCCGAAAAGTACGACCTCGCCTGTTAGTCGGTGTCAGAAAGGGGCTTGGCCTCGAGGATGGCTAAATGCAGTTCTGTCATGTAGAACCCTAAGAATATTGAGTTGAAGGAGATGCCGATTTGAAGATGTAATTCAGGTACCATTGCCAAGATGTTGAAGATTTATTCAGGGGAAGGAGATGTAAGATGTTACTATTGAATCCATTGATAATAAACTTTTCGAGGAATGCCACGAAAGAAATCTAAAATGGATGAAAGGGAAAACGGGTTAATGTCTCAAGGACTTTTCCCAATGGGATAAATTTAGAGCCGGATTGTAGATCACATGATGAAACCCGACAAATTGTATTTCCCTCCTATTGGATTCAATTCATCCAACCATACGAAAGTAAATTCTGATTCTTATTCTTCTTCTGGAAAAAGCATAGGCGAGATCGGACGACGGCATCGATGATTAGATGGGACGCTTACGAACTGGGCTTAATCAACCCAATCAGATGCTAATCTTCTTATCAGAATCCATGACTTCTGTTACTCAAGATCTCGGCCAGACCAAAGATTCTTTGACCTTGAACCGAATCATATCATCCCAACATTCCAATACCTCCATCCTTTATCCCGTAAAAAGCAATCTATTTGTAAAGCCACGCCATAGATTCGGCCATTTCCACTCTTTGTTTGGTCTCGAGAATCATGAATCCCTCTTACGGTCTTTGATAGCGTGCGAGCGTGGGTAGTATCAGATAGAGGCAATGATAAACCGGGGGAGGTTAAAAACCTTTTTACGTTACTATTGATTGGCTATAGACAGATTGGGCGAGATGTGCATGGTGTTGTTGTTTGTGTGGGGGACCTCTTCCACGGTTCCCACGATGGATGCATGCATGTAGTCTGTATGTGTTCGATAGAGTCGAGAGACCAGACCTTTTTCTTGCCATCTCTGCAATGTCTGGGTTTGTCAGACCCTGTTTGCGTGGTTTTCGGTGGTGAAACACGATATCAGGAAAAAGAGAATTCCATTCGAAAGGGCAGAAGATGATGGTGAGACATTTTCACCCATGTGAACGGTATGGAATGGCTGAAAGCTGGCTGAAAGATTCTCCCGTCTTGTACCGTCTTGTCGATACGATATGTATAGTATAGTATATCAATTTGCGTGGGATTTGACTTGCCTGACTTGATTGACTCGATTGGGTCAAAAATGATAATCACGATAGTTGAACCGGCTCGGCGACAGCGATAGCATGATGGAAACACGGATTGAATTTTTTGCAGATCCTTTGAATTTGTATGGACGGACACATTTGACCAAGCTACTTTTTTGCATTGCATTTCATTCTCGGACCAGGAAATGTACTACACTCGTACTAGGGAGACGGACTAATATAGTATGCATTGCCCCTGGATTGTGACGATGCGGAACAATTTGCGAAAAGGGAACGTCAAGATGCAAAGAAAGAAGGTAGGAATTGTTTGAGTATTTGGTTCCAGGAGGATTATTTTTGCGGTTTTTTTTGGGTTTTGACTTTTTGGATTTTCACACAATTATCTTAATAGACGGTGATATGAAGATGATTGCCACATATAATTTTACATCATACTAGCTAGTTACATGATACCTGATACCTGATACCTAAAGACTGGATGACAGGGAATGTTTCAAGGATGCATCTTTTAGTCTATAGAGTAATATATGCCTCACAAGTTGCAACTTTGTACGGCGGATATGTATCCAAAGGGATTGATGGTAAGATACATGGGATGACCATAAAGGGGACTGGGGATGGATGTAGATGTAGTCTAAGACGGTAAAAGTAACAAACAAACAAACAAATAGATAGTATATTATAATGATAGTACATTGTATATTAATGTTAGTTCATGGTTGGTATTGGGGGGTGAGTGAGTGGACGGGTGAGTGGGTGAATGAGTGAATGGGGGATTTGAACGAAGAAAAGATTGATATCCATATCGATATCGATATCGATATCAGATATGGAGGGAGGAGGGAGGAGGGAGGAGGGAGGAGGGAGGAGGGAGGAGGGAGGAGGTAGGTGGTAAAGGTAGGTATCTAGATTGTAATGAATAAAGGAATCTCTTTCAACTTGTATAGTTATTGTAACCAAATGCATCTCATTCCTTCAAACACCTGTCCCTGACGCCCAATATCAAGAATGAGAACTAAAATCATCTTACAATATATGACCACCTACCTACTTTGTAATGTACATACGTAGATAGTAGATACTACTGTAGATAGCAGATAGCAGATACCAGATACTAGATAGTAAATAGCAGATACTAGATACCAGATACCAGATACTAGATGGTAAATACCAGATACTAGATAGATGAATCTTTCTTGACATCTTTCCCTCTTATTACTCCATATGAAATCATCCATTTCATAAGCCCATCCACCATCCCATCCACCACCCGCGCAACACCCCCCTCCACAAATTCCACAATGTATCTTTTGCTCCGCCCATGAGAAGCACCAAGAGTCATAGTTCCAATTTTATTTCATTTGCTTGATTGAATTCTGGTGATTCATTTGTTTCTTTCCATTCTAATTAGGTACTGGATACTCTATTGATTTACTTAATTGCTGTTTAATCTTCACCTTCACTATTGCAACGCCTCTCAATCTTTAATCCGACCCCTGGTACATTATTCATTCTTGCCATCCTCGCCATCCTCAGCCATTTTGACCCAGGTATTCACCGTCTGCAGCCTGCAGGGCGTAGGTGTATGAGCCACGAGCGTCGAACGTACAAAAAGTTCTTCTTCCTTTAGCCGATACCTAGGTAGTCCCCACTCTTATCTACGCTGACAATCATAGCCAATTCTATTTCTATTTCTGTTTCCATTTCTGTTTCTATTTCCATTTCCATTTCCCAAAAATCTACCTAGGTAGTGAATTTAAGAAAATCACACACATACATAAACATTCCCAGTTCCTCCTTCATACCTTTTCTCTTTCTCTCTCTTCCCCAAATCCCCCACACTCTTCTTTCCTACTCTTAGGACTTTTTAAGTCTATCAACAACAACCACAAAACAACAACAACAACAACAACAACAACAATCACCACCACCACCACTTTACATCTCTCGATTCTTTGCTTTTGAAGCATTCTTCTCTATTTTTCTCTCTTTATTTCTCTCTCCCATATTCTCATAATAAATCCGCAATCATGGCTGGCTCAACAACTGTTTCCTATACGGCGAACGTAAGTTTTTCCATTCCTACAAAGATAACCCCAATCTTGGTGCTGCACAACCATACCCCGCTATCGGCGCAACAAAACAGATCACTAACCTGCACTTTTAAATCTTACAGCTCATGAAATACATGGCGCTCGACCAGAAGGGATCTGCCATGGCAGAGTAAGCTAATTAATGGAATACTTTTTTCCCCTCTTTCAAAATCTAATCCTTTACAAAGGTACATCTGGATCGATTCCACTGGCGGTACCCGTTCCAAGTCAAAGGTGAGCAAAATAAATCCAACACACACATACCCGCGGCTTTGCGCCTCAACTCAATCCTCAATAAAAATTTCAAAAAATACCTCAAATGAGTCATGCACTAATATCATATTTCTATTTACAGACTCTCACCAAGATCCCAGAGAGCGGTCAATTCACTCTCGATGATCTCCCAGAATGGAACTTCGACGGTAGTTCGACAGGTCAAGCCCCCGGTGACAACTCAGATGTCTACCTCCGTCCCGTCGCAATCTTCCCAGATCCATTCCGTGGTGCCCCAAACATCTTGGTCTTGACCGAGTGCTGGGATCCCGATGGAACCCCAAACAAGTTCAACTACCGTCATGAGGCTGCCAAGCTCATGGAGGCACACAAGTCACACGAGCCATGGTTCGGTTTGGAGCAAGAGTACACTCTCCTCGATATGTCCGATAGACCTTACGGATGGCCAGTAAATGGTTTCCCAGGTCCTCAAGGCCCATACTACTGTGGTGTTGGTACTGGCAAGGTTTTCTGCAGAGATATTGTCGAGGCTCACTACAAGGCATGCTTGAATGCTGGCATCAAGATCTCCGGTACCAACGCCGAGGTTATGCCAGCTCAATGGGAGTTCCAAGTTGGTCCTTGCGATGGCATCGAAAGTGGGTACTCCCCTGTTTCCAACATCAATCTGAATAATCACTAACTCTTGTTTTAGTGGGTGACCACCTCTGGTTGGCTCGTTTCCTCCTCAATCGCGTCGCTGAGGAATTCGGCGCCAAGATCTCTTTCCACCCCAAGCCAATTCCAGGTGACTGGAACGGTGCTGGTCTCCACTCCAACTTCTCAAGTGCTGAGATGCGTGTAGAGGGAGGCATGAAGCACATTGAGGCTGCTATCAAGAAGCTTGAGGGTCGCCACAAGGAGCACATTGCAGTTTACGGAGATGACAACGCCATGCGTCTTACTGGTAGACACGAGACCGGTTCCATCGACAGTTTCACTTATGGTGTTGCCAACCGTGGTGCATCCATTCGTATTCCAAGAGAGTGTGGTGCCAAAGGCTACGGATACTTTGAGGATAGAAGACCCGCTTCAAATGCCGACCCATATCAAATTACTGGTATTATGATGGAGACTGTAAGTTTAATTTATAATCAAGTGGCAAATGAATTCGACTAACCAAGTTATAGATTTTCGGTGGACTCGATGGTACTGAGGTTAAGAAATAGATTGTTTTTTGCGTGTAACAATGGTTGGGTGGGAGAAAGTTGATAATGGCTTGGCGATATGGTCTATTTTCGTTGCATTTTGAAGGTCAAATCCTTCACGTCGATCTTGCTTTCAAGTTAGCAAGATGATTACTTTTTAGATGGTTGACCTAACTGGGAGAGAATGAAACTCAGATAACATTTATTCTATGCTCTAACACTTTTGATACTTTTTGACATGCTGGCCTGTGCCCATCCCTATCCACCCGACCCTGTCTTTAGCTAAAGCTGGGGATGTTCTAATCTTACAGTAATTACCCCACAACTTCTCCGGATTTCCCTTCCCCAGATAGATCCTCATTATGGTATAGTATGTCTATGGAGTAGAGTCGCGTGATAATGGTAATGCATAATATACATACTGGCGCACGTCGTCGTCATCGCCAACCATCCTGATGATCAATCTTTCAACGTTCTCGTCGCGCTTTCATGTCTCCATCTCTTCATCCCTCCACACGCCCATATATACAAAATTCATCATTCATAACCCTTGTCTATTCTCCTTCTCGTCATTTTTGGAGATATCTCATAGTCCAACTTAACCAACTCCTCAAATATAGTTCTCACTTCCTCCTTGCCAACCCCTTTTTCACTTCCATATTCCTTCTACACCCCTTCAACTCAGTTTCCATTGATCTTCTTCTCCTCCTCCTTCAACGCCTCGACCAATTTCCCCCTCAAGAAATCCGGTAATCCAAAGATGCCCTCACGGGTGACTATACGGTAGGTTCCTGAGTCTTGCCAATTTCCGGGCGCTTTTCCAGAATCTCCTTCGACGAATTGTCCGGTCGCGTCGACTTCGAGAGATCCGAAAATGTCTTCTGGGTAGGCGATGCGGCCGTAGTCGGGAGGCGCGCGGGTATCTGAGAGGTGGATGTAGCCGCCGTGGCCGCCGGAGCCGGCGCCGCCTTGGAGAGGGGTTAATTATGGACTCGGGAAAAGGGTAAAGGGAAAGAGAAAGGGGTAGTGTGTAGTAAACGAAGAGGGAACTGGAGAAAATACCTTGACTAGCACTAGGTGGCGCTCCGGAATCTTTTCCTTTTGAGGACTTCCCACCCTTGTTTTGACGGTAGGATGATGGGGGTGAGAGGGAGAAGTGAGTTGTGGTGGTGGCGAAGGCGGCAGCTTGCGAGTGAAGTTGTGGATCGAGATGGGCGTATTTTTGGAGGATGGTGGAGAGGAAGGGGAGAAATTTAGGGTTGGGAGTGAATGATTGAGGGGTGATGGGGAGGGTGGTGGTGGTGCCGAGGGAGAGGGATGTGGTTGGTGGGGTGGTGGGAAGGAGGGTTAGAGTGTGGGTTTGGGGAGAGGAAGAGGTGGGTGGGTGGATGTACTGAGAGAGGGTTAGCTTTGTTGAGTTGGGAGCGGGGAGAGCAGAGATTGGATTAATTGGGCTGGAGTTGAGAGAGGGGGAGAAAAAGGGGGGGGAGGGGGGTGTGGTCCCAATGAGAGGAGGGGTAACCAACAATATTAGGATTTTCCTTTAATGTTGAGACTGAGCGTTGTATATTGGAAAATGTAGTTGTGTGGGATCGAGTTATTGCGCGCAATGTATGCGGCAATGCGCGAGAGGTTGAGAGTAACATTTTTGTTGGATGATGAGAAGATGTTTATTAGTGGTGAGGGGTGAGGGGTGAGAGCTGGGCATATAAAGTATTTAATTTCTCGATAACTAAGATATCAAGATGTGAATTGCTCGATTAGGAAATTAGCTTGAGGAATGATTAGTAAGCGAATGGACAGAGCTGGTAGGTATGGTTTGAAGTTGATACTATTCTGTAATCATATTATAATTGTGATCATTACTTGGACTTTTGGGTCTAACAATTCTTATAGAGATGATCGGTGGTATCTGAAAACTATGTGAGAGGACAGTTCAGTTGAGTAGAGTTACTCAATAGTTGGTAACTTTACATTGATGCTCGTACGGTACAATCGCAAGACTAATAAATGTTGAAGTGGAGGGAGCACAATCAATGATACAATATGGATATCGATTGATTTATACAAAGAATAATATGCTAATAATCGCCATTATACCTACCTAGTTAGAACGAGTGGTTACATATAAATCCTAATATATGACGACATAAATATCACCAAAACTTTCTAAATTCACTCGAAAAGTTCATGATTACCAGGTATCCAGGTAGATTTTCTTTCTTCTGATTTCGTCATAATTCTATTACGTCGCTAATTCCACGTGTGATTGGTATAGACTCTGGATGAGTACCGATACATGTCTGGCTACTATGTAGGTTATGCTAAAGGCTGAGATGTAGGTATCTCATACGAAATGTGAAGTCACTGATTGCTATTGTATGAGTGAATTAATTGCTTTTCTATACCTAGATACCTCTCGATGATTTGACACTATAAATAGGTTGGGAGTTTTACCTCGTGAGTTGGGTCTCAATTGTCGATAGAGTGAAGAGTTCTTGTGAATGATATTGTAGAAAAATACTATTCAAATTAGATACTCGGGTACTATCATCTCAACATTACCTACATCTCCTCAAAACATGAAGTAAATCGGACGAATCATATGTGAATATATATATTAATTTACATAGCTCACTTACCTACCTGTTATGTTTACTTCTCCTCCTCCTTCTCCTCCCCCTTGCACTAATCCAGCTTTCAATGTTACACTACTACGGTCCCCTTCACTTCCCCAGATATCGCTAAAAGTACCTACCTAGAGCTTCCCGCATCGACCACCTCTGTCGGATTCTGGTTGAGAACGGGAACCACAAATCAACTTTTCAACGGAAGACTCTTTCAACTTATTCACTCAATAATTCTTATACCCCTTTGAAAATATTTCTGACTCGTTCACTTCTGACTCTTCAACTATTACTCACAACAAGTGATTCACATTTGATTTGAAGCTTCCATCAACCTAGTACCTGCTGAAAGCCACCAGAAATCATCTTTGGTGGGGTTGAAGCAACGACAACGGAACAACTACCCCGAGTCAATAAACCACCAGTCGACCACATTGAAATACCTGACAAACGTAGTCATGAATCGTTACGATGACGGCGAGCTAGAGATATCTCTGGCACCATCCGCAAACGCTCGCGCACAACATAGAGCCTCGGACGCCGGCTCACACTCACGTCGGGATTCGCAAAATGGAAACAGCAGGAGGATGGAAACGGTTCCGGCACCACAAAGGAAGACGGAGCAGCGAGTAGGCGCATACTCAGTCATACGTACGCTTGGAGAGGGTTCCTTTGGAAAGGTTAAATTGGCGGTCCATCGAGTCACAGGTCAACAGGTTGCGTTGAAGATTATTGGGAGGAGGAAGTTGATCAGTCGTGATATGGCTGGGAGAGTGGAGCGAGAAATCGAATACCTTCAGCTTTTGAGACATCCTCATATTATCAAATTGTGAGGACTGCCCATGCCAGGTTTATTTACTTGCTAGCTAACTATACTTTCCCAGATATACCGTCATTAAAACCACCTCCGAGATTATTATGGTTCTTGAATATGCCGGCAATGAGTTGTTCGACTATATCGTACAACACGGAAAGATGAGAGAAGATGAAGCCAGGCGGTTTTTCCAACAAATTATTTGCGCAGTCGAATATTGTCATAGACATAAGATCGTACATCGAGATCTAAAACCCGAAAACCTTCTTCTTGACGAAAACCTAAACGTCAAAATCGCCGATTTCGGACTTAGTAACATCATGACGGATGGAAACTTCCTCAAGACAAGTTGCGGAAGTCCAAATTATGCCGCGCCCGAAGTCATTAATGGAAAATTATACGCTGGCCCCGAGGTCGATGTGTGGAGTTGTGGAGTCATATTATATGTTTTACTTGTGGGAAGATTACCTTTCGATGATGAACATATTCCTTCTTTATTTGCGAAGATTGCTAGGGGTCAATATAATGTCCCTAGTTATATGGGTCGTGAAGCTGCCGCGTTGATAAAGAAAATGTTGGCAGTCAATCCGGTCTACAGAGCTACCATTGCCGATATTCGAGATGATCCTTGGTTCACTACAAATCTACCTGCTTATTTGCAACCCCCGGTGGAAGAATTCATTGATACAGGTGTCGACCCCGCAAAGGCTATCAATCCCCGAGCAATTGCACCTCATGCGAGCCCAGCCATCCAGGAGAAATTACATGTGCAAGTTACTGAGAAAATTAGTAAGACCATGGGTTATGGTATTAAAGATGTTCAAGAGGCTTTGGCCGCGGAAGAACCTTCGGCCATTAAAGATGCGTATCTTATTGTTCGGGAGAATAAATTGATGCAAGCTAATCGTAAGTTGTCCATTACTTCAAAAGTTCCGGTGTTGGCATAAATTAACAGTCAATCAGCAAATCTCCTCGATGACAAGAACCAACTTCTCTTCCAGATTCCTTCACCTCCAGCTTACGACTCAGCAATTCCCCCCTCATTACCTAATTCACCTTCGGTTGCTATTAAGGAGCGACCCGGCAATATTCAACCAGCAGTTGCGCCATTTCAGCCTCGACCTAGTCCCCTTCTTGATGCCGTATCACCGAGATCTAGTAGCTCCATTGGAACTGATAGATCATTTGGTCGACCATATGTTAGCAAAATCGGAATATTGCCAAGCAGTATTCCACAATACCATAAAGAGTTTATGGAAACGCACAAGTCTGGCCATCAGGAGAGTACCCTGTCGACATCTCACTCAGAGGCCATCGAACCATCACCTCAAACAGACGCCGAAAAAGCCGAGACAGTTCGTCGCTTAAATCCACATTCTAGAACTCTGGCGAAACTCGATGAAGGCAAGAAACCAGCAGGTATGACTCCAGTTCCATCGAAAAAATCAAAGCCCACGAAATGGCAATTTGGAATTCGATCTCGAAATCAACCTCTTGAAGCAATTGGATGCATTTATAGAGCTCTTCAAAAGCTTGGTGCTGAATGGTTAGTTGGTGATGAATGGACACCTGGTCAGAATGAAAGTAATGGGAATAATCGCAACAATAACAACAATGACAACGATGATCCAAATGGAAGTGGCGCCTCTCTGCATCGCGAGACTTCTATGAATGATACTTCATCGAAGAGAAATAGATTCAGTGGTATGGATAAGCAAGGAAACCACAAGTTACCGGAAGATCCATGGGTGCTTCATGTCCGTTGGAAGAAAACTGGTAAGTGATTCCTTGGTCATTTGAAAACCTCTTCTAACTGTTGATAGATATCCGACGTCATTCCATTGCTTCCCTGAACAGTTCTACTTCTAGTCCCGCACTCCCCTCCTCAATGCCAAAAGATGACGAATCTGAAGCCAACGATGCAGGCGTCATCATGCATCTCGATATCCAACTCTATGAAATGGAACCCGGTGTCTATCTAGTGGACTTCAAATGCGCAGGATATGAAACTGCAAAGGGTATGCTTTGCGAGGAAAAAGATGTTACTAGTCCTTTCCCTTTCTTGGATTTGGCTAGTAAATTAATCATTCAATTAGCAGAAGCTGATTAGATGGTTTGCTAATTATTCAATGGTCGACTCTCTGTGGTTTGATGATACTTTTCGTGAAAGATAAAATACGGATAACGAGCAATGAAAATTCTATATGATTATTTCCTTGGTATGGGGAGTGAGCTTGGAATGTGGATGTGGACGGAACTGGCTTCGGAGAATCGGATATTAAAACTATGGCAAGTGGGTGATTCTATACCTTACTGCTACTACCTCCACTCAACTTGATTGGCATACTGCCTTGTGTTTATTAAGAAAGGACTGGCGAATTACATGGACTGGAACGGATCGCAATGGATGATTGAATTGAAAGAGGAGTGGTTGGAGTTCTATGTGGTTTCGCGATTAACAGGGTTGCCTCCTTATTTGTTTTATTATTATGGAGGTGCTTGCTATTATTCAGGGAACTTTGGGAGAGAAACATGTCTTATTTGTGGCTTGCTCGACTTCAATTTGGGAGAGACGACAGTTCAGAGTGAGAGTGAGAGGGAATAGTGGAGAGTGGAGAGTATGGAGGAACTTGAAAGCAGACGTACCTGAAGATTGCTAAAATTCAAGAGTGATGCAAATACAAATGTAGCTGAAGAGAAGAGATTTAGATATTCGAATCTGGTTTACTTGGTTGTTACAGTTTTACAGATGATAACATGGACTCGGCATATGGGTGTGAATATGAATATGAATATAAATATCATTTTTGAGACTTGGTTTCACTTCAGGGCTTGAATTGAAATTGAACTGCGCATTTCACTTGATGATAGAAAGACTTTGCGATGAAGTTGCGAGCGTTGCTATGAAGAGACTTGGCAGTGTTCTGAATGTGTGGGAGAAAGCAAAGCTTGATTGCGAGTGCTACGAGCATGATGATGTTTACTTCGTTGCGATTCAAAGGCAGTGGGTGTGGATGTGGATGTGGATGTGAGGTTGAGGGATGAGAGGGGGAGAATGGCGGGGGAGAGTGTAATGAGGAGGATGGAATGACGAGGATGGAGGGGTGAGAGAGGGTATCTGAATAAGTGGTTTGTGTGTTGTGTTGTTACCGCGTAAGTATTTTTGGTGAGATAAATGACGAGTGTGTTTTTGGAATTTCTATCAATACTTGGACATACTCGTTGATTCTTTTTCAATTAGTCCACGGGGAAATAAGAGATTCAGACTCTCGGAATTCCTAATTTCGGGGTTTTACTCTTGACGATATTGCTCTTTTACTCTCTCTTTCTCTTTCTCTCCCAATTTTGTTATATTAGAAATTTGGGTCCACCATTTCACATCACTTGCATGATATCACACGTACCATTAGAACGAATCAAATGAATCAAATGAATCAATAAATAGATGGTAACTCGCTGGGTATCATACACTCATATACGTCACATCTTCTCCTCCATCCTATCCTCATGCTGATGATCCACATCCACACCCCCAAATTAAAACCCATCTACAATCTCCCCTTAACCCACTCAACCCAAACCCCCAAATCCTCACAAACCTCCAACATCCTACCCAAATCATCTCTAGTCAATGTTCTTGCCTTCCTTTCTTCTCCCATTCCATCCATCACTTCATCCTCTCCCATTCCATTCAGAATATTCTCCTGTACAACCACCACTCCGCCATTCCCCTGAATTTCGAAAATCGCATTCGCACTCCTCTTCTTGAACTCAAATACTATTTCCACCCTGGGTACTGGGGTTAATGTTAGAGAAACATCTAGATGCGTTGATTCATTTCTCTTCTCCTTTTTTGGCTCTTTCAGAACCGGCTTTGGCGTCGGCGATGTAGTGAAACTCTTCATAAAGTCCTCAAATTCCTGTTTCATCGTTGAAGGGTTTATAGTATCCGCTTCGGGAGATTTCGATATTGTTTCAGATTTGGTTGGTCCTTTCGATTTGGATTTTGAACTTTCCCCCGCTTCAAAACTTTTCCTCAACACAGTACTCAACAAAGCAAATTGTCTTAAGCATGGCAAAATTTCCACCAATTGTCTAGGGTGACTAAACGATACTTCTTCTACCTTCCTTCCATAATCAATCTTCTCGATATACAACGTATTAATATGTTGCTCTACCTTTTTTCTTCCCTCTCTATCCCAAACCGAGATATCTTTCTCTGTGGTGATAGTTCTGGCTTGTGTCTCGTTAGTCTTCAAAGCTTCCTCCGCACTCAACGGAAACATAAGTCCATCAAACGTTGTGATTTCTGAAAAATCAAAGGGCGTTTGCGTCGATTGGTATATCTGCATCGCGATAGCATATGGCACTATGATCGGAGGATCGAATTTCGCAACAAACATTGCCTCTGGGAATTTTTGCGTCTCGTTGTTCAGATCATTTGTCTTGATATCGGGATTTGTCGGTAAAAGAGTGTTGTCGGGTTCCAACCAATGCAAGATCGGTCCCCCTTGCAACTGGGCTGCTCGGAATAGATCATCGACTGCCGGATTAGCTTGCTGAACTTCATCTGATATCCATTTATCAGAAACGCGCAAAGGAGTATATACACCCACCACCAATGAAGGTAATGGTGCAACCTCTACCAATAACGACCATGTCTTTCTATTATGTTTCTTCCCCTTTGTTGGAATCCGTCGTTTTTCCTGCCAATAATCGAGACTTAACCCTAGTCTCTCTCTTGAATGCATAATTGGTATGCCACTCCTGTTACACATCGCAGCCCTCAGGATATCCTCATCCTCCATTCCCAACATATCATTCTCCTTCAATCTTACCATCTCCCAATTATGCAACTTATGCAAACTGCAAAAGATTCCCGCAACCGCCTCATGACAATTGAGTCCAGGTATAACACTCAATTTATCCAACATAGTTAATCTCTCTAAGTTTGCCGCAAACCGGTCCAGCATTTTGGTCAACGGACTCTCTCCAGCCTCAAATTGTAAATCCCTTAACAATATGTCTGAAGCTGTCTTCTCATGTTTGGTTACTGATTCCGGCGCATCGGGAAATGAGAGTGAAACTTTCTGGACAACATTATTCGCAAAATCGATGTCGAGCGCAAGAGCATTCCCTGCTATAATAAGTGTGCGTCCATTACTGGTGCTTCCCATCATATCTTCCCACAAACATTCTAATCCAACTCTGCGTGCTAATCGTTCGAGCCCTGCCTCACTAAGTCTTCCTTTATTAGGCTGTACAAATTGCATTAGCATTGCCCAAGCAAACCAATCATGAATAATATCCCCTCTACCTCCACCACTTTAACCCGACTAAACTCACTTTTAAAATCTCCACACAGCCCATCAACCTCCTCCTCTTCTCATCTTCGTCTTTCCCCGGCCCACCACCCAACACCCCAATTCCTTGTAAATCAATGCCCAAATCCCCAACGACATCCGCACCCATCCCCAGCGCCAACGCTGCAGACGGACTATCGAATCCCACCATCCCCATATTATATGCTTGATTCGACATTGAGGTTCCTGCAGGACTAGATTTTTTGATTTGAGAGGGAGATGGCACAACAGAACGCGGTCCATGGGGAGAAAACGCTAGATGGGATGTAGAAAATGGGGTTGAGACGGGAGGTGTCGCTGCTACACCGGGGTACTTTCCTGGCGTTGGAGTCGCCATTGTGATGGCGGTTTATTAATAATGTACGATGACTTGTCGTGCAAAGAAATATATTCTTGTTGAAACGGAAGGCAGAAGGGTTGAAGAACAAAGTACTTGTAGCTTCAGAGCTGTGATATTTCATACGGTCGCGATTATACTAATGGATTCAACATGAATTATAGTCGCATATAAAATTTAAGCTGGTATATGCGACTTCGTAACTTGAATAACTTAGATAAATGTATCGTAGAGGCCGCTCAATGAACCCATTACGTTTTGAATGAACAAAAGATATTGAGCTCATGATGATATTGAGCCTGGTGCGGATATAGCGGCCGCAGTGCCCGCTTCCATCCCGGTTGTTGGCAACAAACAAACCATGTAATCGAGGTTACTTTCGAGAGGTTGTCCTCATTCATATATTAAATATCTTGACAGTTACGAGATCAATCGAGTATTGATGAATCTTTCTAGAGCATCAAGCAAAGATAAGGAAGTTCATATCACGCAATACATATTATTAACAAACATGCAAGCATTGAATCGCAAGTCGTAAAAAGGCTAAAATTCAAGACTACTACAACTCTTAATCATACACAAGGACTTTCTGCTTCTCTGCTCTGCTTTGCTCTGATCTGCGTAAGTATCGCCGCTATCTCGAAATAACACTATCATCAGAAATAGTAACATACTATCATAATCAATGCTTTCGCTTTTTTTTGATCCATTATTCATTCCGTTATCAATTGTTTATTGATCACTCAGCAAACTTCGAAGTCTCAGCTCCTCCAGGACCGGCTCCCTTTGGTGTACGAGGCTTAAAAGTTGAAGAATTTGCAAAAGCCTTCTTTTCCTTTTCTTGCAACAAAAGGCGTTCAAGCTCCTCTTGAATCTCTGCAGCATTCTTCACGGCGGCTGGAGGAGGTGAAGGTGGATTTGGACATACTGTACCAGTCAATGGATATTTATTGTAGAATCTAGTAAGAAGTGGCCCTGCTAGACGAGGGTCCATTGCTTTGGCTACTCTTCCTTCATCGTCTTCATTTGGTGGTGGATCCAGGGTCGTCTTGACTGGGACCTTACGACCGACATGCGCCTTCAATGGAATTGGAAGACCTGGCGGTGGTATGAATTTCCTTTGCTCAGTCTTGATCCAAATAGGTTCTGTTGACATTAGGGGCTTCGGGTAAAACATTGGTAACATTTCGTTTGAGGTTGGCGTCATTTCTTCCTGTAACGAAAGACCTCGCCGCTCATGGTGAGCGCGGGTAATATGAGCTCTCGCAGAACTAAAGTTTTTGAAACATGCCGCCTTGGGGTTAAGACTGTTATTAGAGCTAGATTCTCTTTCTTTTCTTGGGCTGTATTCAGTAGGGTAGGTAGTCTTGAGATCCTCGATAGGCCTGGCATCATCTTCATCATCAAGTCTTTTCAGAACCTTCAATAGCTTGAGAAGAACTCTACGATCTCCCTTTTCCCATGTAGCCAGAGATTTAATGCAGTCCTCGAGTAGATCTGCCTTTCTATTTTCATTTGGGCTTGTAATGCAATCCTCGTTCGACACCTCTTGCACTGTAACATAAGCTTGCTTCTTAGGACTGTCAACGTATTTGTCGATAATCTCAATCGGCTCTATGGAAGTTTCGCCCTCGGTGGTTTCTGTCAAAGGTGCCGATACCCTGGGTATTTCCTCACTTTTGTTAACTTTGTATTTTCCATCTCTGATGGGAGGCTGTGTCATTTCTGGTTCAGAAGCCCCACCCGAGCGATTTTTGACAGGGTGTCTGAGAGGTTTGGGCGTCGTCTCTTCATGATTGCTGAGAGACTGAATGGGGTATCTCTTGGCAGATTTAGGGCTTTCGCCAGAAGACTCTACAAAGTAACCAACGATTCTTTTGGTAGGAGTGTAGTCATCTTTGGTCAAGAACTTTGATCCCGGTTCGACCTTGTACGATTGTGGATTATCTCTTCTCTTGGGTTCCTTGATCACAGAATCGACACCTCTGTAGGTCTGAATTTGTGGAGAACTTGACCGTGGCACAAGTACTTTGTGAGTTGGAATTCCTGTATTTCTTTGAACTTTTGGAGGTGACGAGCTGATCAAAAAAGGTGGTCGTGAGAGTTCTCTACTCATTTTGACTTCTTCAAAGGGTTGCGGTTGACTGAAAGGATACTGTGGTCTGTGATGATAAAATGGTATTTGTTGCTTCAAGGCTCTCCCGCATGAGACAATCGAAGGATCAACCGCCATTGGCCTGTTGACATATTCCGGGTCTGGACAATCTCGAAGGAGACCAGAACGAGCAAGCTGCTCTCGAATACTAGCCTCAAGACTTCTGTCAATTTGGGGACAAATCGAGGTATCAGATGCCACACTGACGCCACGTGAGCTTAATCCAAAAGTATCTCGAGGATAGTGAGAATGCTGAGTATAGTGTGTTTGGCGTTCAAACTTTTCACGTTGTGCACTTGGTCTAAGAGCTTGCTGCATCATAGTGCGTAAAGCAACTCGTGGGGACACTCTTCCCGTGTGGTCATCCCGACGCTCCTCGAGAACGGGAGTACATCCAGCATACATTCCCTCGCCTCTTTCAGGACCTCGGCCGTTATGGGCATTCATGTTAAGATGATGATTCCTTGCATCAACTATTTGCGATGCTGCATGACTAGGAGGCATATTAATGTTTAGCGGAACGTTATATGCCATTGGTAGTTGAGATTGAAAAGTAGCATATGGCAAAGAGCTAGGGACCATATTCTGATATTGACCATGATAAGGTTGTGGAAGATAGGTTATTTGCAGTGGTAAGTTTGCTGCATTGTCGCTATTTGGGAATGGAGGCTCTTGTCTTTGCTGCCTTAAAACTAACCTTGGAGGATCGGCCATTCTAGGTTGGGTATTTCTAAGTACCAGCCGCGGCTTTCTCTGCTCATAATGAACCATTGTTCTTGTTATTTTTCTTCTTGATCAGAGTAGGCGCCTGGAGTGAGTATTCTTCTAGTAACCAGTCTGTTAATTCCAAATCAACGCCGTTGTACTCCTTATGTAACAATGCCGCCCACAGTTTTGTCCAGGCGTATTGCAGAAGAGCCAATTTGGTCGTATGCTCTGAAAAAGTGCTCGTCTCGCCTTGAAAGAATCAGCCTCTTAATCTCGGGAAAAACTGGGAAAGTGAAGGTACTCACCAGTGCTTTCTGAATTATCAATCCCAGATATCTGTGAATAGTCGTAGGTGGGTCCTTCTGCAGAAGAGTCACCGCCAAAAACCCAACGCTTTGTGCCGAGTTTGGTTTGTAAGTCAAGTGTCAAATTCTCCAGTATGGCCTTCTGGTCGTTGTGAAATTGGAAAGTTTCCTGAGCCAGTGTCGAAGAATCTGAGTTTCGTGTGGAAGGTAAAGGAGTCAAGGTGAAAGAGTCCGATCCAGATACAGGTTTGAGATTAGAATGAGCAGCGATATCTTTGAGGAATGCTTCTCTCGAGTATTTCGGAAAATGCACAATGCCTGCCAACAGCTCTTCCTTGTATAGAGTGAGGGGATGCGAAGTGTTGAAAACGTGGTATGCCAAATCTGAAGGCTTGACACCGATCTTCATGGGAAAGGAAGTCTCAAGACATGTGAAGGATTGGGGTGAGAAAGAATCTTTGTGGCAAAGAGCAAGGGGTAGCTTATGTTTGTTGTAGAGAAGCAAGAATTGTTTGAGAGTGTGTCTGGTGGCTGTGGTAGGTTGAGAGAGCAAAATTTGTAGCGATGTTGCTGTGTGCTTGATTGTTGGACGAGAATTGAAAGAGGATGACAAGAAGAGGGCTTTATTTGGCGTGAACATGTCGGTACAGCATGGAAGGAGTAGACATGGTTCATTCTGATGTTAAAATGGAAGGCGTGAAGTTGTCTGTGTCGTTCGCTGAACTTGGAAGGAAAAAACAAAAGAAAATATATGACCTACTATATACCTACAGACGCCGTTATATTTGGAGGTTAGAAGACAAAATTGTGTATTTATGAAATCCCATCTTTTGAATAGATCGGGTCTCCCCACATATCTGAATCACTTAATCTTTGAGATCTGCCCCGACCGATCCGTTACTAGAAATTATGAGGTTATAGAGAAGAGAAGATATATGTTTATAACCCTTCGGATGTTTAGACGTCAGCGCTCAAAGTGTCTTGTGCACATCTTTTGGGTCCTAGATATTCTGCAACGGAACGATTGTATTGTGACTTGAGGCTAAGCTTGAGGAACAGCAGAATATAATTATGATATGAACATAAATTATATGAAACAAAAGTTTGTATTTGAAATTGTCCTCCAATAACTCCAGAAGACAACACGACTTTTGACGTTCTCTAGAAAAGAGAATATAATTTTTCACCTCATCTACCAAGGTAGCCACTAAGTCAATTTCTATTTGCCTCAAGACAACAAGTGGTAGAGACTCGACTCAATGCTCTGCCTTCGAATGTGTTGTAGTAATCATGATGGCGAACAAGTCAAGAGTCAATTGCCATCAACTTAGAAGCCTTTGATATCCTCGGGAGCCCTGGAGTAGATAGTAGCTGGAGGTACCTAGGTAGAGATAGAAGTGGCTTGTGTACGCTATTAAAGTGGCTCAGTGGCTGAAATTACCAGGTACGTAGTTTTAAGGTTAATTTCCAAGACCAGGAAATCTAGTCAGTGATTACATCCATAATTTTATGTTCCACGCCGCAAAGTTACTGAAACAATATTGAAAGATGCTCAATCCTTCGATATTATCGACTCTTATTAATCTTCAAGATTTTATGGACTTCCACTGACTTTAAACCCAATTTCACATCAATATCTTATATACCATTACGGACACGCTTCGTGTGCAGTGACCGACCATTCAGAACAACAACGACAGCAGGCGACAACATGGCAAGTATAACTTTGCGCAAGAGATTAGCAGTTCTATTTACTGTTTCAATCTTCACCATCGCTCTGATATATTATTGGAGACTTCAATATTCACCTCAAATCTCAGAGGAAAGATTGCGTCCAAAGCCCATAATCCCGGAAAAGCCTGGCCTTATCAAGGAGCCACCTGATCATGATGGTACAAAGCTTCAATACTCAACAGCCTCCATTGATACAAGCACATCAATCAATACCATGGCACAAACCTCCGCTACTCCAACCCCTTCCTCCATTATTTCGTCAAGCCCGAATGTTACAATTCCACAGGGAACGTATATAGGAAAACAAACATCGAAATACCCACAAGTCCTTGAAGAGTTTCTTGGAATTCCTTATGCATTGCCACCAACAGAAGATCTTAGGTTTCGACCTCCTGTCCCGGTGAATGCATCAACAGCAACTTTTGACGCCACAAAACCCGCATCAAGATGTATGTCCGGTCCAGACAATCAACCTCAGAGCGAGGATTGTCTTCATCTGAATATTCATCGTTTCAAGAGCACCACGAATTCATCAAACGAAAAATTGCCAGTTTTGGTGCATGTTCATGGAGGAGCTTTCAATTTTGGGTATGCAAATGATAGGGGAATAGCATCTCTGGTGGGTTGGTCTAAACAACCTTTGATTGCAGTCACATTTGAGTATAGAGTAGGGGCTCTGGGCTTTTTGCCATCGAGGTTAATGGCTGAAGAGAAGGCTTTGAATTTGGGCTTGAAAGACCAGAAGTTGTTGTTGGAATGGGTCCAGAAATATATTTCAAGCTTTGGCGGTGATCCAGAAAACGTTACTTTGATGGGTCCCTCGGCTGGAGCTCATTCTGTGAGTTTTATTCCTGTTTTATAATAAGCGTGATTCGCCACTTCAGGAAAACTGATCCCAAGCCGGGCTTTTATGCTCACTCTAATAGTTTGGAGTTCAGCCTGACGATGAGGCTTTCTGAATTCCTGAAACTGTTTGAAGCGTTATGTCTTTTTGCATTATTGTTTTGTTGGGAATGGGATATTAGTTGTCAAATTCTAGCCAAAGTTTTGCAACTTTTTACTCCTTGGAAGTCCTGTAGTCCAGGATAATGGAAATAATGGCTACGCTGAAGACTTAGATGCGATCAATACATCATTGTGGGTTCTAACAATGAGTCAGATTGGTCATCATTTAATGAACAATGATGACTCCCCTTCCCTCTTTGCTAAAGCAATCATTGAATCTGGGGGACCAACAGCCCGCGCTGTCTATTCTTACGATAACCCCCTCCATGAGACTCAATTCTCAGAATTCCTGGATAAACTTGAGCTTTCTAGCACCCCACGTGCCGATATTCTTTCGAAACTTCGCAGTCTTCCTGTTTCATCCATCAAAGCTGCCTCGCAGCAAATCTTTGAATCTTATAATCCCTCTCTTCGTTGGCCCTTCCAACCATGCATCGATGGACCTGGTGAAGATAGTATCATTCCAATGCCCCCAATTGAGGCCTTTTTAAATAACACATACCGTCACATCCCCATTCTTACTGGTTACAACACCAATGAGGGGTCTATTTTCGTCCCTAAAACCGTTGATAAAGCAGGTTCCTTCCTCGATTTCTTCCACGTACTCCTACCCACTCTCCCTATGGAAGATCTCTCAATTATCGACTCCCTCTACCCAAATCCTGAATACAACCCAGACTCTCCATACGCCTTCAATAACACTGCTCTTGAAGTGGGGAATCAATATCGACGCCTTGATAAAGCATATGGAGATTATGCGTACATAAGTCCTGTGCGTCAAACTGCCTATTTTGCTTCCGGGGAACATTCCTATGAGCACTCTCCCTCAAATTCAAGTTTACCTAAATCAGCACCAGTCTATCTCTACGAATTCTCAGTTAATAGTAGTGTCCTTCATGGTGCCTCTCACGGTTCTCAATACCCCTTTCCTGCATACGCATCCCAGGTAGTCGATAAATCCACAACGACGAAAGAAATAGCAGGCTTGATGCATGCTTATTGGACGTCCTTCATAATATCTCCGACAGGAAATCCAAATGCAATCCCGGGTAGATATCCGACTCGTATGGTGTGGCCAGAATACAAGGGTGGGGAAGGGAAACGACAAAAATTGATTTTCGGAAGAGGAAATGATGAGATTGCGGGGGGTAAGGAAAAAGGCGTGGTGGTAGAGATTGAAGAGGATAGGAAGGAAAGAGTGGAGAAGGAAGCTTGTGGATTTTGGTGGAAGAGAGTGAAGTTGTGGGAAAGTTGATTTTAGAGAGGGCTGGTGTTGACAAGTGTAAGATGTAAAAGATGGATTGTTATCATACTGTTTCGTATATGAAAATTGGGATGCTTGGAGTGAATTGGTTCTGTTCTAAAACTTTTTGTCTCCGGGACTGGGAACGTTTTTGTAGTGCATGTTACTTAGTTGCAAACCATGTTGTATTATTTAACAATATCACCTTATTAAATCTAGCACCTCTAAGCTACAAGTTTACTCGTTGCAGTGAATGAGAGACTAACATTCATGATTCATCTACCTAGGTAGGTGGGTGGGAATACTAGCAACAGGCGCTAGCGAACTCCACCTTGAAACTTATTATTAGCATCATTCTCTAGTGTTTCTCAAAATGAGTGAATCGAGGTAAATCTAGATCCTAAATACCACTTTGTTGCACATCTGCTTGATCTCGAAATTGACGTCATCGTGTTGGGGGAGCCAATAGAATCGCGAGCGCAAAGGAGAGAGTATCGAGGGAGCTAATACTTTATTGTTAGTGTTAGAAATATACTTTATAAGGGATACTAGTGTGTACTATAATGCAGTATTATGTTATGGATGTCAAGAGGATTAGCTCTTTGCCCTGGTACTAGCGCAACGTGTATTACTAACACGCATATATTAGATAGGTAAATAGATCAGTTGTTTACTTCGAAACTCGTGTGCTTGTAGTGAAATCTTGATTTCACACAATGAGTAATTCGATGCCCAATTTCATTTCAAGGCTTAGGAACAGATGAGTGAGTGAAATATTAGTTGAGGATATTCTCGCCTCTATATCGCTTGGCAAAGCATTTACTCACTCTTTTAGGGATGTATATGTAATCTTAAATTATACTAAGCATCACAGCTTCTGTTGGAAACGATGGAGTTTCTTAAATGTAATTCGTATGTGTCAAGATGATGCCCGCGACAGAATGGTCTGCTTGTAAATTCATGTCCCGCGCAGACAGGCCGGCGGCATTGCGCAGTCCAAGTATTGCCGGCCTGTGTGAGCATCCTCGAAGACCTTTAGGGCAATGAAAGAATGATCGGTGATATGATTTGAGATATATTTGATGTTCTGATTCTTTACTATAGAAATAGTAAATTGGCAGTGGTTGGTGAAGTCGACCACTTGCAAGAATTTACCAATGCCAATATACTTCTTTGTAAAACGTATGTTCTGGATAACTGAATGAGTATAACATTATTCTCCACAAATTATCAGAAAAAACGATAATGTACATGTACTGGAATCTGCCGGTTTGGAAATACGCAATCGAAATTCCTTGAGGCCAGCTCGACGGATTTAGGCCGGCCAACCGGGAAGGTCAAACACATGTTCATAGACATCCAAAATATTATTTAAATGCCTCCCAATCCAAGGTTTATCTCACATTTATACGATAGTCTCAGATTCTTCATCTCCTCTCAACTAATAGCCACACGACTCAATCTCAAAAGCAGAGTGCACACCTTTTTGAAGAAGAGCGAAAATCGCACAGCATAAAGGACAGACCCGATATTCTGGAAATATCTATTCCGACGTAACACTGTCCAATTCCGCGCCTAAATATGAGGAGGTCACCCCACCATTTAAGTTCTCGTCCCAGCACAGATTCGTCCACTGCACCACTCTTAGGTGATAATGACAAGGGTAACAAGTCAAGTGGAAGACATAGGGAAAAGATATATGCGATCGGGTCAGGAAGACGGCATCAAGCGACTAGTACTTCTGGAAAGAAAGAGGAGAAACCTCACAATTCCGAAGATTCCTACAGACGCATCAAGACATCCGACCAAAAAGCCCATGAAGAAGAACAAGAGTCCTCCAAAGGCAAAAAATATCTCCTCGATCCCGTTACGTTATTGCGGTGCAAAAGTCATCGATCCGACATAAGAAGTAAGATCAGGTTAACCCAACGTTCTATGGAAATAGAAGAAAGAGAGAGTATTACCGGAAGAAATCCGTGGGAACACTGGAAAGGATACATCGATAGGCTTGAAGAGCTGCATAAGAAGATCCTTGAACTTGAAAAGGCTGGTTATTCACCACGGAAAGCCAACCGGGAGTTAGACAAGCTTTTGGAAAGCAACAAAGATCTTTTCGCACCTTAGTGGAGTTATACGTGATCGGTGTATGATATATGTACTATAGAGACTATATAGGATTGTATAAGCTACCTAGTTTATATAATAGAAACCTTTTGAATATTTTTATACTCTATAGCATACATACAATATGAGCTTTTTTATGTAAAAAATTTAATATAGTATGATATAGATTAGGAATAGTTTCAAAATCAAAAGAATTTTCAATATTAACCTTGATCATTTGTTAAGATAGATAATCAGGATTAGTATTGAAAGATCTTATTTCTCTCTTGACTTAAAGATATATATATTACTACTATACTATAGAGAATATTACTTTGAATATAACAATATGGTAATTTTAAATAGTATTTATTAGATATTACTTAGTAAGTTATATAGAAAACGCATAGAAAGTATAGGAAAACTTACACTATATAAGCAAATTGCATCGCATAGAGAATTCTGTATTGCGTATATACTATATAGATTCGCTATATAATATAAATACATACCACATGTTACGTACAACTCCACTAAGGAATACACCGACTAGTTCCTGAAAAGCAGATGTTCCAAAAAAATAAAGGTCTATATAATCTGGTTGATCTCGGGATTATCATAATAATGTGAATACATTCACATTATTGTACTCCTACTGAATCCAAATACATACCTTGCTTTAAGATCAATAACAACTGACAATTTTATATCAAAACAACAGAATCTTATGTACCAATTCCTTATTTCGATACATTCCTTTTCAGAGGTACTAGAAAAGACATTTGCTTTCAGAGGATGCCTGCTCTTCCCGATCAGAAACTAGTCAACTGCTTGGAAGAGCCGTCTTTTACAAATGTAGCTCTTTCGAGGAGCCCTTGAGAAACTGATGAAGAGGAAATAGATTTAGCGAATACGATATGGGATGCACTTGCACTTGCAAAGTTTGATATTGTTATTGTAGCTTAGGTTGAAGGTTTAAGGCGGGCGTCAAGCTTGAGATCTAGTATGTGTTTGTAAAGTTTTGTTGTTAGAGGCGCACCGATTTAATTGTATTTTGTCTTGATACTCTTAAAATTTGTTTTCGCATTATTTGTCTGAATGAATGGACCTTTAAATCCGTCGCGGGGCACCATAATACATTGAACTCATACCATGATCGAAACTCATGTGACTTTCCTTTCTGTCTTTACATGGTATCGTTTTCGAATCATTCAACTTGACTCGGATTTTCACAGCTTCAAGAAGATTGAAGCCCTAACTGAATAATCACTTTCATTCTTCAGTCTGTATGGTATTATATCCATTCTTATGTCCTCCCAAGTCATCCGCAATGGACTGGTTCGCCTGATATCTATATACACAATCAAATAAAACAAAGAAAAAATTGAAGACCGATATTGTATCATTTACCTCCATGTCTTCAAATTGGCAAAAACAAAGCGCACCAACAACTCCTGATAATGCCACCAAACGAATCTTAAAACTTTGAATGGGTATTTGACGTCTAATGATGATCAATACATAGACTGTTCGAAAATCGGCCGCTAATTGGATATGCAGAGATACGATGATGGTGGTTGATGAGAATCGTAAGCCAAGCGGAGGGTACATATCCCTTTGAAGAATCCATCATTCTTTCAGGACATATGCCTTATTAACGCCATTTGTAACTCCTTCGACGTCGTCCATGAAACCTCCTGACGTGTCTTATATTCGATATCCATTTCCGTTCGCTTCATGCCGTATTTTATCTCCTGTCTCGTCGCACATTTCCATCACTCTCCTGCCAAATCTATCTCGGGAGATGCATCTTCTGCTTTCAGCACGTCCAACTCAAATCGGTTCCCTGCCTCATCAAAATTCTACTCGACTGTCACATCCCTCTAATGACTTTTCTCAAACATCGCGGTAGGCAAAGCTCTCTTGGTTTTAACCGTTCCCACAGTTCCTTGAATGGTTCCTAATCCCACACTGCCGACCAGAGGAGTAGCTCCGATCGCCCAAGTTCCCAAGGCTGTTTTTGCAAAGGTCTGCGTATATACTGGTATGTATGAGACAGTCGTAACGCTACCCACTGTGTAAAGTGATGGAGCGGCAACAGTCGTGGTTGCCATTTGGGTGGCTGCTGAGGAAGCAGTCACACCACCTAAACCTGCTTGTGCATGTGTGAGGGCTGGAAGAAAGGCGAGGAGGGATAACGTGTACGTCGACGAAAGATGCATTGTTGTGATGATGGTGGTCTTGAGATGCAATAAGGTCCGGTAAATCGAAGACGGATCGTTTTCCTATGTCGGAAAGGCGGTAATGAGTCTCAATTCGAATCGTATCGTTAACGTGACGTATCGCGATATCGAGATTCTTAGATGTCTGCTGGTTTGCTTTCGCTGTGGGTTATCTTAATCAATCAATAATTTCGTGTCCGTTAGTTAGGAAGTTCGTAATCTCTTCGTAAGTTGTTATGTCGCAAAATGGTACGAATCTCTAAACTTACTAAACTTACTATTCTTGGAAGGAGCTAACATGAAAGGGGGCAAAAGTGGATACGTAGCCACTTTTGTGCAGTTGCCAATCTTAGGTACCCGTAGACCCGTCCACGGGTGACCTGACCAATGTGGCTTTGTAGATTGTGGCGCATGGCAGTGGCGTTTGACGACTCCTCTGAACAAGGTGAAAACCGATTTAAATTCTTATCATCAATCATTATCTTGATTTTCAAGTTGAAAAAGATATAATCTGAATATATATTGAATTTTTAAAAGCATCAACATATAGAGTACCAGTGTTGTTCAATTTGAGAATCACTCAAGGCCGTTTTCGTTTTTAGGGTCGCGAAGTATTGTCGATGTTAAATTGTTAGATCTTCATCGGATTGCTTTTTAATCAGACCAGTGGCTTATTCATATTAGTTATGTGTATATAAGACATTCTTGCTTACTATCCAGAATAAAGCTCATATCGCAAACCACTTCTTTCTAACCGCGATTTAAGAGTCAAGCAATTGAAAAGATGTGATTCGATCTTGAGAAGGATAGCGGTGCCAAGATCAATAGCTGCAATGAGGGCCAAGCCATCTGAAGTTTCAATCGATTGCTGGAAGCAAGCTCTACGCAGGCATAGCTTCTGAGATTTTTCTTCCGTTTCAATGGTATTTTGACCCAGAGACGTTTAGACCCTGAACTCTTTACAAACTTTCAACTGCCGTCAAGGCTTTTAGTGTCTATATATCAGACCTCTAGCTGAATATTAACTCTACATAAACCGTTCGAGGTGGGATCCTATCGAACTTCATGGCTTGATATCTCCAAAAAGGTTATTATAGACACGTAGGATTGTTCTGAATCTCATAGCTTTTGAGAATATTGAAGGTAAATTTGTCTGTGGAAGATTCGATAAGTGTGTGTATATCACTTTTCGCTCGAGGCTTCTAATCCCCGAGTGAAACAGAGGACGCCAGGGGAGCAAAGCGTCCAAGTTTTCAAATGGCTATATGGTTGCTATTGCTCGTCGCGTGGATCTCTCGAGCGAGTAGTCAAGCCGTCATCTTCAATACAGATAGATTGCCCAGCCTTTGATCTCTCGCTCTCAATCCCTTCAATACTAGCTGAACATCGAAAGCAAATACGATGCAAGCAGAACAAAAGAACAATGGAACGAATAAAAGATTAAGCAATAAAGGTGGAGTGGCTTATTAGTCTAGATCATCTTCGACTAGTGGGAAGCGAAACCATATATTTGACAGATAGTTATGAGATTTAGTCAGATACTTAGCTTTGCAACTCGTTTAACAGTCTCTAGGAGTCACGTCAAAACTTCATAAGAGGCCTTTTTGAAGGGGTCATGATAGTTTCTCCAGCTTTGCAAAATTACAAGTAGTAGGGGAGAGCTTTATGTTCGCATGAGCAAAGTATACGAGCATTTTCTAGGCTCCCTCGCTGCTCATCGAGTGTCCGATGAGCAGATGATGAATGACGTAGGATGATCTGCAGAGAGACCGCAGAGATTGAAATCATAAAGCGCTATATGTTTCACATATATCGAAAGCCATCAATTTTCATGTGAGCCCCTCTACCCCTCTTCAATTCATTCAGTAAATGTTATTTACCCCGCCCAGCCTTACATTATTGGAATTTGGACGTGTCTCACCATTCCGAGTTTGCCGTTTTCGTACTGGGTATATAATGCAGAGAGCAAGTTGCATAGCCACAATCATGAATCTGCCTCGTCCTGCCTTACGAGAGAGATAAGTGATATGACATGCTGAATCATAAATCGAGCTTAGCTCTGCTTGCGCTTCTTTCGTGATAGCGGGGTGGATACCTCAACCCTTGCAGACACCTGCCGTAAAGGGGATCTAGTCTCGAGCTAGTTTACCATTCTGTGGTACGTGCTAGTTGATCCGAGTTACCCGTCAGATAGGCGCCAGGTGGGTTAAACGTCAGATATGATATGTAGCTGAAGCTACGAGTGTTCAACATCGCTCTCCCGTCTGTGGTCTTGTTGTAGCTTCCCACAAGACTTTACATTTGCGGCTTCGATGTCTTCCAGCTAGGGACCTTAGAAATTCAGTGCAAAGGTGACATTCTGATGTTTTGTTGCTATAAAATATAAACTACCATTTCTGAACCTTTAGCACATTAGACGCCGTTTCAGGAGGCGAGAAATGTGTTGATCTCGGTTGCACTCGGATGCATGTCTTGGATAAGTATGCGGGTAAGTACCAATGAGGGTTGAGCCACTCTCATTCACGAGTTCCGGCGCCTGAAATATAGCAAGAGAACAGAAAAATGTTGGAGACGTGGTGTGACTTGTGTGAATCGTAATGCTGTGGTGAAAAGAGTTGGAATTTAGTATTTAGTCAGGGTTAGCGTATGTCTATCGTCACTCATTGCAGATTGATAAGCAGTAAATTTTTCGTTTTAACCTGAAGTCTTCTAATCAAAATCCGTTTGAACTCCAACGAAATATAAGCCTCAACCTACTAATCATAAGGCTAGCTACAGGTATGTACTTCGCAACAGGCCAACAAGTTATGGGTCTAAAGCTTTATTTCGTCACTAGCCGTGCCGTGAACCCTACCCTTAGGGCTTACTGGAGCCACTTAAAAGCTCAAACCAGGAATGACATTTGCAGCCCAAGTTTAACGGTTCCACCCAGATAATTAGGAATTCACGCTGGCTCGAGGCTGTCTCGGCTGTTCACAGTTTCGGGTTTGAAGACCGACCTCCAGCAGTTGACCCAGAAAATCGATGCTTGTATACTCCGCAGATTTCCCGAATATAGCCTAATCGCCTAGTCTTTCGATCAGACACTGGCAGAACTGACATATTAATGTATCGCAATTCCGCACATACTTTACAATCTTCTTTCCTCAGATACACCATCTCAGCCACATACTATCACAATGCCGTTGACCATGATATACCGTAAATTCATATCCCTAGACCGACCGACTGACCTTGCCGGTCATTTGAGGAGATAGATACAGACCATGTCTAATTATTCCATAGAGAGTCCAAATTTTTAACCATATACCTCAAGGTCGACCGGAACCTGCCGTACATAAGCGTGCTTGTTCTCCTCGGCTCGCTCATGCTGCAGAAAGTGCTTACTGTTGACGTACCAACTGCAAACTTATTGCACAACTCTTACATAGTTTTGACTGCTTACCTGTGCGACCGTGTCTTTCGACGGTATGTTTTTCGCTTGCTGCTTATGTAGAAAATCAAATAATAAGACCTGTGTGATTAGTTTGGACCTCCCACCATACCCTTTACCAGAGTCACCAGAGAAGAAGTGAATTGATCGAGGGCCAATTTTTCAACGGCATTTTGAGGCTTGATAGGGAAGGGGGAACTTACATTCTGAGCGTTATGCCGCGAGAGGGAGGCGAGGAGTGAAACTTTGTGATTGAATGGCGGTGATATATAACTTTGTACTTACAGTGAGAGCATCATGATGCTCGTACGTGCCATATTTCTACCTATGTAGCTCGTGGTTAATATAGACAACAGCACACATAAATTGAATGAAATTTTCAACCTTAAACCAACACAGGGAAGTTATATATACAACAATATATTGATTGTGCGTGAGTAATCTGACTTTCGAAATTCTTCTCAGGAACTTGTATGCAACCACTAAGTTCGGCCCAAGCTTGACCACACTTCGAGGTACTTGATCCGTGGAAATTATTGACGCGATTGTGGGGGCCGCAAGCCTTCAATATATCTAGCCCACCAAAGGTGATTAGCCATGTTACCAAGGAACCCATGTCCCTCGACCTTCCTTTTGAGGCCGTATCGAAGGCTTTATGAACTTTCATTAAGTTGTCAAATGCTTCCGACGACCAAGCTTTTTCTGCCACAGTTCAGTCCCTCATTGATCCAATGCTAAATGCCACGAAAACTAGTGGACACCGGCCCAAGCTATCTGACGGAAGGGTATACACATCTGCGACCATCTCAAAAACTCCACTTTATATTATAATATATTGATTGGCAGAACTTCTCAATCTTAGGCGACAATGCGACTGACCATGCTAAGTTTCCTTGTCAACTCTCATGCAGGTCAATTGACATCGAGAAACCTTTCACTTGTAGAAATGAGACTAGATAGCTTCAGCTTCTGAAGAGCTACTCTAGTCGCTATTCATCATCCTGTCAACAACAAAATGCTATGCTGATCGTAGCTCACTGAGCTTGAAGAGCGCCTATAGGCCAGTCTTAAGCACGTGATCATACACGTGTGCAGCGAGCACGTGAAACATCAAGTGCGAGCTCTCGCCATCGGTGACAGATGTCCGCGAGCAGATCGACAAGCTCGTACTATATTTTAATACCTCGTGTTTCTATGGTATAAAATAGTACAGGGCAGATCGTGTAGATCTCAAGGGCTCCCATTGTACTTCCTTCGTACGATGTGAAATTGTGAACTGTCGAAGCTCGTCCTGCCGAGCCCACAACAACCAAGTGTGTGTTAGAAGGCGAAGTTTGGCTTTCTGAACTATTGCTGCTGAGAAAAGTGAGTGTACAAAGTATATCTTGATAGCCAATACTTTCAGGACGTTTGCTCTTTCATTCAAATTTGCCAAAAAGCAATTAATGGTCAGAAGCCTGGTTTTATTGCTATGTCTTGATATCACTCTGAGGCCAAATGCTATTGAATCGGCTTCTCCGTTATTACCATATTTTTTAGACAATCAATAACCCATCAAAGGTACCCACATGACTCAAGAGACACGCACGATACGGGATCTTATCCGCTGGTAGACCTTCTCTGCAGCTTTCTAGAAGGTCTATCCATATTGTGATACATGATAGGCAGTGATAGGCAGCCTGCATGTAAAAGCTTGGGGCAATTGTTGCTCTGATTCGCTGTACTTTTCGATAGGCGGCTCACACAAGGTTGCATTTTGAGCATTATCGTCGTCATCTTTTTGCAAACAGGCAAGCTTCGTGCATGCTCCGTACCATTTTAAACCTTTAAGGTTTTGTCTTCAGCCCTGTGTCTTCATCTGCGTTTTCTAGTTATCTTGATGTTCAAGACACCTCATGAAGGGTTTCGGAGGAGACTGCCTCTTGAAGAAGTGGCTTGCAAGAAAAAGGAAGTTCACTTCCGTGTCCTCATTTCCTAAACTTTCATATCCGAAGGAAAGCGAAGTTTGTCGTCTTAAGCACAGTACAATTATAATTGGATTGTTTTCGTCCGAGAGACTGGCTGTCTCGTTGTGTAGCGCTGGCTTTTCGACTTGTAATCGGATCTACTAACTGATCGGGTCATTTGAGCCGTGTTCTTCTTCGAAACGCCCATCTACTCGTACCTGCTGCCGCTCAAACCTAAATACCAAAGCGCCTACATAGTACTTCCACAAGTGGTTTCTGTACCTACTTGGTACTCTTCGTACCCAATCATGCATTCTTACCCAACAAGTGAGTACATTTTAGTTGAGCAGCAGAGTAAGTTTTCCTGCTACTCTGAGCTTCTTTGGCTGGACTTGCATGGTGTATTTTAGGATTGTTTCAAACTTCTTTTCTGCTCTTTGCTCTCGTTGAAGTCTGACTCTGGACCTAGAGATATGGTCGTTGGCACTTAATCTACAGTGAGAGAAATAGTCAAGGCGAGTATGACAGGTGATAAGAGGATCGAGCACAGCATATTTGACAAATGGACACAAGAGCCAATTAGATACAATTATCCGTAAACATTTCACAATCACCAGAATCCTAGACTAGAAAAACAAACAAAATTCCAGTTTGCTGGGAATGGAAATACACACTAGGATTCTCCTTGGGTCATTATGGATACTACCAAAGGGGGTGCACGGAGACGCCATACTCACTCACCAATCATATCCTCTCAAAATTCGTTTTGCCACATTTTAGTCTCCCGGTCTGCAGCCCATCGTCCCCTTCAATTTAATCCCTGACTTCAACACCCAGATCCAAACTTCCTAGGGTAAGCCCATCGAGAGGTCTAGTACAACTAATCAGGCTAAGGCTGAGTGATGTACCATTTATTCGCCCGACTAAGGGTTTCTGGCCGGGAGATCGAAGCCTTCTAGCTTTCAAGGTCTCCCTTTAAAAGGACCGGCCGATTCTCCTAATGCTTAAACGGCATATAGAAGCTTCGTCTTAGAACGTCTAAAATACTCCCCTTCCCTCTTGTTGATTAATATTCACGATTTAAGTTATCAACTACTCTCTTGGTTTGTTTATCTTTGGTTACTCAAATCCTTCAACAAACCAACATCCAACACAAGCTTGCTCGAGTCAAGCCTCTTCGAGATATCACCATCAAACATTAGTTCATCCACATCGAAATTACATCACGACTCATTCTCGAAATTAGTTCTTGGGCCCGTTAACTTCTTGGTAATTACGATTCGGTCCCCTTGAAGCTCACATACTCCACGTCCATTGATGAACACATAAACACGACAATCTTCCCTTCTGAGACCAATCTTTCATAGCATTGATCTTCACTCCTCGCATCTTCACCATGTTCGAGAATTTTACTTTCGGCGCGGCTCCGGTCAATTTTGATCAATGCGATGATGATGTGCAACCATCGCCAAGGGACGACTCTTTTCCTGCATCATCATCACCTGCCACCAGCTCATATCCCTTCTTCGAGGACTACAATCCCTCGTCGCCGCTTGATGATATCATCAATCAGTTTCGAAAACAATCTCTTTCCTACGAAGATGCAAGAGATATACATGCTCGCCAATGCGCATCTCCAACGCCTTCCTTATCAGCAGATTCGGAAATGTCTTCTCCATCCAACTCCACACGATCTGTACCAACTACGCCTACTTCCCCTTACCGGGCAGGGGTATTAGCCTGTCGGAGGCTACAACGTCAACTTAATGTACAACTACAATGCTCCACCACTCACGTTCGCGATATCAGCACATTAGTCGAAGATATGCTTAGCAATAATTCTCAGTGCAATTTGCGCAAGTCACCATCCAAAACCAGCCTTGTGTCTTCACCCATCTCGGCTCTGGTAGTCGATCATAGTACACAGAATGATTGGAATGCCATTGAGATTGAGAAGGCGAGGAGAAGATGGTTAAATACTGTCATTAATGACGTTGACGAGGCATACATGGAAGAAGACAGCTGGGACAAGGAAGAATGTTCTTTGTCACTTAGAAGAGCAAGTGCCCCTAGTGGAATTAGGAAGCAAGGCTTGAGGTGCAGGACGAGCATGGAAAGTGTAGGAGGGAATAGAATGAAGGTCGCTAAGGCACCAAGAATGAGGATAAGAAAGGGACAGACTGGGAGACTAGCTTAGTAGTGGCGTTTTATACCCTGGGATATTTTGGATGTGTTTGAGGGTTACAGTCAATTTCGTTGAGGTTCAACTTCTAGGTTTTAGGATTGGCGTTTGAGGGATAGGGTAGGATGGGATGAATACATGGCTAAGCCACACGACCACTTATTCCAAGGAAAGGAATGGAATTCGGAATGGGTCTAGGAATTAGGTGGATGGACCAGACATCTTTTCTTAATCACCTTGCTGGCCTGGGTCGCTTAAACATATACCCCGGGATTTTGGAGACAGCGGGAACACTGTTTAAATGGTGTATATCGCGGAGTAGACTATGTATCTACCCGCACAAATAATTTCAGATTCTTACATTACTACTTTGGTGCAATTAGCACAAGTCAATGAATGGAAAATTTTCATAAAACATATCTTACCCATGTGCAGCAAGTGAGAGAGACCCTTCCCCGCATTTCCTTGGGAATGATCATGTCGAGAGACAACTGCAAACATTGTGTCATACCATTACCACATTTTCATACGAACTTTCAAGATCATCATGTTTCATGTCTAGGTACCTAAGTAATTATGGAAATTTCATTATCGGGTACTTTGTGTAGTAGATCAATTACATATTCAATCCACATCTTCTAGCTTGGCCTCAATCACTCACTCAATACGTCTCTGTCTACTCTCGGTTACCGTAAAATTTCTCCAACCCAATCAATTCAGCCTTGCCAAAATTTCATGGCCTTGCACTTCATTTAGCATTCTCGTCCTCCGACTACTAGGAAATACAACACCAATGCGAATTCGACAATAAGAAGCTCAAGCGGAGCTCTATACAACACTACATCTCTAAAAATGGCAGCGTCTTTACGCGCCGCAAGTTCTAATGTCTCCAACCGCACAGTTCATGTGAAAATATTCCCCTCTGCCAGAACATTTGCGGAGAGAAGAGAAGTGCTGAGGGTTTTGGAGAGGTTTGGAGAGGTTACTATGTTTAGGAGTTTGAAGGTTTGTATTTTCGTTTCCAATTCGTTTGTAGAGTAAATGTAACATATTCTGACCCGAATAAAAAGCATCACCCAATATCTCCTGTCCAGAACGCATTCATATCCATCTTCAGCTCCGCGACAGCTGCACAGGAAGTTATCAATGCAAGCCCTGTGCGATATCGATTGGTTGTCGAACCGGATCCGCAAGCCTCTCCCACGGTTCCTTCTGATGGAAGTACGTCTCCGCAAAAACCAAATGAAAAGGTCTTCTCTCTTTCTCTAAACATTACTCGC